CCAAAACAAACCAATACAGGTATAATGGGAACACTCAAATATGATGATAAACACACCACAAATGAGATAGAAACATTGAGTGTGGTAGCAAAAGCTCATTTCCCAAGTTGTTTTACGACAGTAAATGAACCTCTTGACCCCAATACACAGGATCGTGGTACTGGTGCACGTATGTGGGGTCTGGCAAGAAGAGTGATTACAAACAGCAGACTTGAATGGGCAGTGAATTCATTCTCTCCTTTCAAATCTGCTGGAACTGACCAGATCTTTCCAGCACTGCTGCAGAAGGGTCTCCCAGAGATAAGGCCATACCTTCTGGAACTTCTAAGAGGTAGCCTAGCACTGGGATATCTACCATGTACATGGAGGATATCCAAAGTGCGATACATTCCTAAACCAGGAAAGGAATCTTATGAAGACCCCAAGGCATTTAGGCCAGTATGTCTGTCATCTTTCATAATGAAGACATTAGAAAAGATACTGGACAGACATATTAGAGAACATATATTGGCTACTAGTCCAATACATTCAAAGCAATATGCTTACCAACCAGGAAAATCCTGTGAGGTGGTGCTTCATAACTTGGTAACAAGAATAGAGAAATCCTTAGAACAGAGTGAAATCATGATAGGCGTCTTCGATGATATCGAGGGTGCCTTTGATAGAATTCCTTACAACATCATAAATGATGCACTAAGGAAAAAAGACATAGATGCTATGTCCTCCAGATGGATAGGGAGAATGCTGGAGGACAGAGTTCTAAAATCAGAAATAGGGCACAAGGAACTGTGGATTAAACCCTGTGGTGGCTGTCCACAGAGAGGTGTGCTCTTTCTGCTACTGTGGTGCTTTGTGGCTGACTCATTATTGGAAGCCCTAAACACTGCAGGCATTTATGCACAAGGATATGCTGACGATATTGCCATCCTAATAGGAGGAAGACATCAGAGTGTCCTCTCTGATATCCTCAGTACTGTGTCTAACATTCTTAGGAGTTGGTGCAGGATTAATGGACTAAGCATCAACCCTAGGAAAATCAATGTCTTCATCTTCACTAAGAAGAAGAAGGTAGTTATTAAAATGCCGGAAATTAATGGTATCCAATTGACACTGAGCAAGGAAGTAAAACACCTTGGAGTCATTTTGGACCATAAACTGTCATGTACAAAACACGTTCAAAACGTGACAAGTAAAGCCCTCAAATGCCTATGGGCCTGCAAAAGAGCAATAGGAAAGAATTAGGGACTCAAACTAAAAATGGTATACTGGCTGTACACAACGACAGTCAGACCTATCATACTTTACTCAGCTTTGCTATGGTGGCACAAAGCAAAGACTGTGGCCAACTTATCCTCATTAGGAAAGATTCAAAGGCTTGCTTGTATAATGACAACAGGCGCGGTGAGCACGACACTGACGGCTGCCATGGAGGTAATGCTGAACATGGCTCCGCTACAGCTGGAGGTGGAGGCTCGGGCAACAAACACATTATACAGGTTAAGCAAGTCAACTTACTGTTCACCAATCCCCTGTCAAGAAGGACACACAATACTGCTGAATAGGATTGGACGTGAAGGAGTACTAGCTATGCACTCTGACACTCTAATCCGAGAATATCAAGACCGAAAATATAAGGTTGGGATAGATAGCAGCAGAAGACATAAACCAAATAGTGGAATAAATTGCTACACAGATGGCTCTCTAACAGCCTTCGGCTCTGGAGCAGGCCTCTATCGCAAAGATATAAAAGAAAAAACTTCTATACCACTTGGCAGGTATGCTTCAGTGTTTCAATCTGAAATACTGGCAATCTGCCACTGTGCACAAAACCTACTGCAAAGCAACGTGACTGAGAAAAAGATTACCATCTATACTGACAGTCAGGCAGCAATAGGTGGTATTGACAACTATTATGTTTATTCAAAGGTCGTTAAGGAATGCAATATAGCACTTAACGAACTAACTGAGCACAATAGAGTTGCAGTGGAGTGGGTGCCAGGTCACTCTGGCATACCAGGCAACGAGGTGGCTGATGAGCTAGCCAGATTGGGCTCAGATACCATTCCTGTAACTCACGAGCCTGTCTGTGGAATCAGCCTCAGTACTGCCAAGGGCAGGATCAGGGAGATTTATGGGAACAAATTTAGTAATTAGAACGAAGTAATTAGAAAGAAACAGATACATTCGAAGCTGTTCCTAAAAAGTCCATGTGAAAAAAGAAGTAAACTGCTACTGAACATGGACAGAGCAGCCCTTAAAAAGCTTACAGCTATCTATACAGGTCACTGTAAGCTAAACAATCATATGTTCAATCTCCGAGTAATGACGAATCCGCTATGCAGATTCTGTCAGGAGGAGAATGAAACAGCTTTTCACATCATATGCAGATGTGATAGATTTACAAGGCTGAGACTGGTGGTATTTGGGGAGGAACAGATGGATCTCCCCAGAAGATATGAGTCGGTCAATCCAATCAGTCTACTTAGATACGCGGAAGCGACAGGATTAACGTTTTAAATAAAACGACCAACTGAAATGGCGCACAATGGATCCAGTAGGGGTTGAGGTGCTTATGGCCAACATAAAAATAACAAAAAAAACAAACAATTTTTTTGTTAGTATTATACTTTCGCTCGCGTTGTTTTTAAGAAGAATATAATGATTCAATGGATAAGAATAAATCCAAGTGAGGTGATCACTTACCTTGGTGTCAGATTCAAAAGAGGATTCATCGTCATCCCTCACTTGGACAAACTGGGAAACAGGGTGGTCCAATCTCTAAATCGCCTTAGTCCCGTAGGGATTGCTTTCTAGACCCTCAGATACCCAGCAATAATGACTATTTATAAAGTAATGGTTGAAGACATTCTCAGGTATGCATCCCCAGCCTGGAATCTGAATCTTTTGTGCCTACAGAAGAGTAAATTGGTGATAACCTAGCGAATCATGAGTGCTAATCGATGAGTATCTCATGAGGTATTAGCGGAAGGAGTGCCACTCAAACTCCTCCAGCAACAAGATATGGTAAAGGATATGTACAAAAAAGAAGGTTCATCAGGTCTGCTGAGAAATATCAAAGTAAGGATTGATGAAAACTGCAGAAAATGGAAAACTATTATCCAGAGGGATTGATGAGTGGGATCAACAGCGAGTGAGAAATCCAAAAGAAGCCACCTAGAGGAATTACTTTCCCTCTGAATGTTAGTGGAATCAATTCGCTTTCAATCACATTTGGAAAACAAGTGGATCCTCCTGAAGTACTTAATCTCATAATTCTTCACAGAGCACAGGGGTTTCAACAAAAATCCAAGACCTTGGAAAAGACATTGATCCCTTATGCCTCAACTGTGGAATCCCAGGCTGTTTAGCACATTATTATGAACTGTAACACCTCTGAGTTACTAAAGGACAAATTTCTGAGAGAGATCAATCTTTATGTTATCACAGCTAGTTACAGGAGGAAACTACTCGTACTACAAAGATTTAGTGTACAGATGGAAAGAAGCAGTAGGCCCAGTACACAACAACAGCTTCACAAGAGGACCTGCCCCTGGAACAAGGAGCAGAAGAAGAAATCTTAAACATAAAGGAAAATATGCAGTAATGCCTAACAAGCTAGTTTTACAAAACCTGCATTGCTTAAATGGCACGGAAGGGTTTCAATAAATAACTAAATGTTTTTAAGAAGAGAAGAGCAATAACATTTTTTGGGAAGGGGGACTGTGCAATCGACCTTGGGGAAATAGGTACCTCTGGTTTCACCATGTAAAATAAAATCTAAACTACTACAACCCTTACAGGGTCTTGAATTCAGTACTTTGTAAGGCAGTACTGTTTCAAAGCCTATAATTGTGCAGGGAAGATAAGTTAGACTTAGATCAAGCTCAACTACCAGATTTTCCCCCTTAATAAATTATTTAATTAAAAGTATCCACTTTATAGGATCTGGGTGTGCCCCAGAAGAGTCTCCTAATCCCATCATTGATGTGACAGAATAAATAATTACCTGACACAGCTGGAATCAAATATGGGATCTTGAGCACAGTGCCTTACTCACTCAGCTACGCCACTTCTTAATAATAAAGTGCAAATGAAAGAAAAATAAGTCAACAAAAAGCCTAAAACCTATGGTTAAATAAAAGTGCTCCCAAAGGTTCTCCTGATGTTGAAAGAAAATTTCAAGAGTAGAGCATGCATATTTAAATATATAAATAATAGCTTAATAAAATATGCCACAGAACCTAATATTCAACTGTCCAACATGGACAGAATATCAAGGTTCCGGCCAGAACTGTTTAGACTAGACTGAAAACTGTAGGTGTATGAGGTCCAGACCAGTTTCAACGAAAGAGGCTATACGCCAAGTTCATATAATATCACATAAGCGGAGTCAAAGCAGGAGACTCCCGATTTTGCTGTAACTAGATCCATTGCAATACTTATTATTTATATTATTTCCTTTCTTCATTCTAATGACTAAAAAAAAAAAAATAATATTCCTAAGAATACTCTAAAAATTCTTTCATGTGAAAAAAAAGAATCAACTAATACTTGGGTATTAGTTACATTGAATATCTATACCACATAAACGTGAAAACCACTTCCAAGACAACTGCTCCATAATAGATCATACATAGCTGTGAGGCATGGCCTTTGATTGTGAGTGAACGACTCCCGAATTGTTGAGAGTTTAAGATTTTATTAATTCTTTTTTTTGGCTTTAAGACTTGTAAAAGCAAATCCTATTTTGCCTATAAGATTTTATGTAAAATCTTTGACCTCATTTACAAAAGCGACATATGAAGAATCCAAAGTCATTTCTAGCTTTTGTTTTTTTTCCAGTATACCCTACTTTGCTATTTTTAACATAGGAGGGGGAGGGGGAGTTGTTCTAGTGGTACAACCAAACCTATTCTAACTACAGTGGGAAGACTCTGGTTTTCAGAGGACCTTAGAGCCAAATTATAAAAATAAAAATCTGATTTTCTTTTGAGGGAAACAAATACAGGATTTTACTATTTTTTAAAATATATTATTAAACCATTAACCAAATATTAAACAGATTGTATAAGAATTTTTTTTACATTAATTATGGTTTTTTATCACTTTACTTATTTTTTATAGATTACTTCACTTAATAAAATTAACAGATATTTACACTCAATACAATTAACATGGAATTTCATATAAGCGAATAAATAAAGCCATAAATTATTTTAAAAAATATAACATTTTGTAAGAGAAATATCATATCAGTAATGCCAAATTATATTCAAAAGGTTTCATTAAAAGATAAGTATCATAAAAGAAAACAGACTAACATAAATAGACTATGAACAGTAAAACAATACCAACAAGACAATAAAGTTTATGTGATAAATATAAAATCATTTCATTATATAAGGCCTGTTTTAAATACTTCTTTGTATTGGACATCCTAGATATACATAATAATACCTTAACTTAAGATTGAATAAAAAATAACATACAAAATTGTATTAAATTAATGGAAAAATATATTATAAATATTTTATATACAAATTGTAATAAGTACATTAATATTTTTTTTTTTAAATTGAAATTGAAATAAGGCTGAGCAGTGATGATAAACAAAAGTGATAGTATAAGCATTGACTAGCAATAAAATAAATCGTTTACAAATATCACTAATTATATATACTTTTTTCATTAGTTCAATAAAAGCACCAGTGGTATGAGCTAAGAAATGGCTATAGAATACAAAACACGTTGTTATATCCATTCTCTTAATACATAAAACAGTTATAGGCTCTCACATCAAAAAGTTATTAATATGAACTTTATGTTTAGGCGCCAGTCTCACTCTAATTACATCACGGAAGACATCACAACCATTTTCTGTATCCCTATTGATTTAATGCATTTTATTGACAAATAAAACTAAATTTTTATTTTTACGAAAATAGAAATAAAATAGTCTAATGCGGTGAACATATTTTAAATCACAATTCATATTTCGTTATCTGTTTATATCATTTCAGCAATAATCTTAAATTTATGACTTTTTTCCTAGTAAGACTAGCTAGAGTGTAACTCCTAAATGAAGAATCACAGCCCAAAATTAATAGATAATCATAAATCAAATCGAAAACAACAGAGCTATTGCTTGTATTGCCTTCGCTCGTACTTCTGGATTGGTATCGTTAGTAAGAAGCAGTAGCTTGGTCGAGACGGGTTCGAGAGAGATTTCTTTTCTTTTGCTTTCGCTCAGATTTAAGTACAACAAACCTGAATGAAAAAAAAAAATAGGCTTTTATTTTACATGAAGGAATCAATATGTAAATACATGAAAAATGATTTATGTACTACCTGCGAGAAGAGCAGCATTACCCCGTACTGAAGGCCAATTACTTTTCATGTATGTGACACATGTCGTGAACATGTTTAATGAGAGATGATCCAATTCCTCAACCTATTAAAAAAAAAAATGCTGCAAATTATTATATAATTGTTTATTTCCAAACAATTACACATCTAAAGAACATTATTTTTCTGGTAACATAAAAGAAATAAATAAAAGGCGATTCCTATCATTGGCCTAAATATATATATTTTTTTCATCATTAGTAATTTGCTAAGAAAAATAGCATTGCTTCAGTAACATTTGCAAAAATAAAAAGCCAAAACAAAGGATATATCCTTCGCAGTATAACATGTTAAAAACATCTAGAATACCATATTATCTTTTCTCCAAATTGTCTGATTTCAGCTTTTTTTTTGTTTTGTTTTAAATGAAAATTCGTAAATTTTTAGATAACCATATACAATATCAACAAAAAAGCTATTAAATACATTTGAAACATCTGATTATAAAAATTACAAATAAGCACATAATTTTAGTTATTCAGGAATCTAATTTTACTACGCCTCGTAACTTTTTTTCCAGCTTCTTTACGTTGAAGTATGTAAATAAATAAATTTAAAGGGCTTCGAGATGAAGATTTTACCAAGTTTCATTGAAATAGGTACATTCATTTAGGCGCTACTGTCTATACCAACACCAAATCAATCCAGAGTCTTGGGAAAATGTGCGGATGGTGGACGGACAAAAAAATTTTTATTATATTTTTGAGTTTATGTGTCCTGAAATTTAAAACCTCAAATTTTGAGGAGGGTTAAGTTTTTGAATTTTTTGGCCGATTACAATAGTTCTTTATTGAAAATAATAACCCAAAAATCAAATAATAATAATAATTTTTTAATTTATCAAACATGTATAGTCTTTTAATAAAAAATCTGGTGCGTTCAACACACAACTTTCAGTTACTGCTCATCTTTCAATAGAAATTATTTTCTGGCCGTGTTGGGCTATTATAAAATTTTTGAATTGCATTTTTTTAAAGATTGCAGCTAACAAATCATAAATACTATTAAAATAACAAGAGTCCTACTTATTATATCACCGGTTGATTATGGATTGTTCGATCCGTTGATTTATGGATTGTATGGCTTATTAAACTGTTATTTTCGATTGCAAAGTTTATTAAAACGGAATTAAGAGATTTGCGTTGTCTGTCATAGACAGGTCAAAACTTGTCACACTTGTCCGCCATCCGCCAGACTCAAACCTGCGACCTTGAGCTCTAGCAGAGCCCAACCCAAGGAGCTCTCTCATATTTTCTATATGTGACTTTTTGTTCGATGTTAAGAAATTTTATTCATACATAGAGAATTTCAATAAATGAAAGTTCAATGAACAGAGGTTCCACTGTAGGCAAAAGTTTTGTACCTTAAATGTTACAACCCAATTATTACAACAAAAATTTTCATACTAAGAAAATATTTACAACTAGTAGGCCCGTGCGATAAATTTGCACAGCATATTGTTATCAAATGGCAAATTAATAATAAAATAAAATAATGCAACCTATCAAAAGATAAAGAAATCAATTGCTACTTTATCGATAAATATAATCGACAAAGGAAACAAAAATCAATTTAAATCTTCATTAATGTTTGAAATCAATATGTTTACAAATTTCAATAATCTGTACCTTTGCTAAAAATTGTCCGATTTTGATGATTTTTTTTCTTTTTGTAGAGAATTTATTAATCTTTTATATAATCATGGGCATAACCAAGGGAAAAGTGTGTAATTTTTTAGTGATTCGCAAATAAAGTTTGTTTTCTTTCATAACTTGTTTGCCTGAATTTTCGGGGTGATTGGACTACTTTGCTCACCTGAAGGAGAAGGAAGTCTTCGAAACTGGTGGCTGGATCTTGAGATTTGGTGAAGAATTAACGATGATATGTCTTGCCGATCAAAAACACCATCGATAAATAATATAAGCTCCTCCTCTCTCGATCATAGAGGCCTCAAGTCGACGAAATGAGACATGTAATTCAATGACAGTACTACAATTAACGTAAGGTTGTGTGGATGCGAACCCTATGCCTTGCGATATATATCTCAAAAATAGTACAATTTTGGGCTTAAAAATGCAGGATCCGATAGTTCCTTCGGAGCTACCCGGGTCTTGCTGTACGCATCAGAATCTTCAAGGTCCAATTTGTCCCATATCGATCTACAGATCTACCACCATTCCAGTATTGAAGCCTAGCAAAATGTTTGTATCGACTTTATTTATTTTTAGAAAGAAAAACAAAAGTGAAGAATATGATTCGCTAATCCCCCAGGAAAATTCTGAATCCAACGGTACCCTATTCATGGTATTTAAGTATGACAGGAGCTTACATTTGGTACAAAACCGATTTCGAGCCTTACTGTAATAATATATGTGGGGATAAGGTTGTCAGATGTATCTACTTTTAGTAGGTCAGTCCAACTTTCATTAGCAGTACATTTCATATTTCAAATAATTTTGAACTGTATTTCATATAAAGTAGTTCCGATAGTTCAATTACTGAAAGACTACCATCTTCATCAATTGTAGAGCGTTTCTTTTTAATCATAAAAAATAAATCCACTGATGCGGGGAAAAAGATGTTCTCAAGATCTTATAATTATAAGACAGAATTATTCATTATTGCAAATTTTTGAATTTTTTTTTTAAATTTAAAAAGTGATGTATATACATAAATTATAAAGTGATGTATATACATAAATTATAAAGTGATGTACATACATTAAATACTTCTGTTTTTACATAATTTCTGTACTTAGTTGTTAGTTATTTTTTTATTGTAATATGTATTCTGGCCAGATGGTATGTTAATTTTTATGTACAAAATTGTTATTCTTAAGGGACTTTGTCCCAGAATAACGTTGATTCTTCTATTCTTTTTAAAATATGCCAAGAATAAACAAAAATATAAATTTGGAAACTACATAGATTAATCATACTAAACTACCTAGAATAATTAATTGTTCCAAGGAAAATTTATCGAAAACGGTTAAGTATGGTTTATGGTGTATTCTAAAATTTAAAACCTCAAATTTTGAGGAGGGTTAAGTTTTTGAACGAATACAATGGTTCATTATTAAAAATAATAACCCAAAAAGAAAATAATAATAATTTCCATGAGAATGTCCTGACATGGGTCTTGATTTTCACCTCAAACTATTTTCCACCTTAATCTATTAACCATACATCGTCGAAGTATTGGTATCAATTACATTTTTCAATCACTTTTATTGAAGTTCTAGTGGAAATATAAGGATTAAAATTCATATAAGATATTTCTTCATGAAATTTCATTTCTTTTGACACCTTTTAAGTCAAAACTCATCACTCCTAAAAGCCTGAAAAGAAATCTATACTACTGAATAACAGATATTTTGTATTTTTCATCCACCAACTCATTTATTTACTAAAGAATTAGGGTAAAAATTAAACAGATAAATAATTGAGTCTAAATCAACTGGCAATCTTTCAAATATATCCCATAAATTAGAGAATAATAATAATAATAATGAAACATTGAACTTACAATAGACTTCACAAGAACAGTAACAAACTGCTCATACTGGAGGTTAGCATCATCGATAAGATGATCCTGGAACATAGAGCAGACCTTCTTGGCTCCAAGAACAGGGGCTGCTTCACGTAGTGAATACTTGCAAGCCTAAAAAGTATTTACACAAAAGTTAAATAATAAAAAATATTACATTAAAAATTGAAAATCATGAAATATATACAGGCATAATTTTAGTTAAAGAAATTATTATCAATCATAAAAGGTGACGACTGTCGGACGGACGATAGTCCATGGTAAAAAAACAACAAAAATTTGTATTTATTTATAATATTATATTTATAAGATGTATATCATTTTATTTTGTTAAACAATAAACATTTTATCAATCTATACATACATTTTTGAAGTGAAAATTTCTTCAGGCTCACTTTGCACTTTTTTTAGTGGATAGTGAATAAGATTGAACTGTCAGCTAAAGTCAGCTAGAGTGGACTAATTGAAGTTTTTTGCATTTGGATTAAAATATCTCAGAAACTAAAAATCTGACCAACATACTGTAAGTGAGGGAATTGTTTAGAATTTCTTCCTCTTTGTAATGAGCTAATATTAAAAAGGGAAAAGAAAGTGTCGAAAACCAAGCGATGACGAGTTTTGTTGAACATATGGATTAAAATATCTCATAACCTTAAAATTGGATCTGCATACTATAAGTGAGACAAATTTTCATCACTTCATTCTCTTTGTAATGAGCTGTAAATCAACATTGCACTTTGATGTGATGCCGAGTTAGATAGTTGGAAAGGGAAAAAGATAGCACAAAAAAAAAAAAAAAAAATAATGAGATAAATAATGAAAATTTGGTCTAAAATATCACAAGATTTAAATATCGTGGAGAATTCAGAAACTAATTTGTGGAAGTGAATACAGGTTTTTTAAAAATTAATAATAATAATAAGGCTAAGCAAACCCGAAGGTTCGATGCCGATACCTGCAATCGATGTCTACATTCTTCCATCTAACGGGCGCTGTCTAAACCCAACCCTGCTAGATCAGACCTAACGCAATCTTCCCACCTTTGCTTCAGACTATACCTCAGACGTTTGCCAGTCGGCATGGCGCATATTAACTTTTTAGGAATTCTATCATTAATAAGCCCAGTGATTTTACATGCCTATTTTATTTGCCTGGACTGGGTATAGTTCACGCAATTCAGCATTTCATTTTAAATTCTCCGGTTGACTCATCCTTCTTTGGTCTGAGTATTCTGCGCAATTCTTTATTTTCAATATTCATTCATGTTGCACATCCCTTAATGTAAGTGGCCACGTTTCGCATCCATAAAGAATTTTAGGAAGGATAATGGTTTTGTAAATCCTGATTTATAAGTTTCGGGAGAGCAGCTGCTTGCTAAGTAGTTTCGCAACTGAAAAATAGCAAGCATTTCCTGTCTTTAACCTAGCCTTATATTCCTCTTGAATTTCATTTTTTCTTGTTATAGTAGATCCTATATATCTAAACTTCACTACATGTTCAAATGTACACTGACAGGCAAAAAATTCCACCCACTTGATTTTTTCATGTTTTCATCTAAAAATATTCCACCCACTTGTAAAAAAAGTTGTATTTGTATATAATACATGGTATTTGTAGATAATACTTAGTATTTATAATCTTTTTTACCTGTAATAATCAAAATGTGATTGGGTAAGAAAGATTAGAGAAAAAAAATTGAAAAACGAAACATTATTATACTAAAAGAAATTAATTACATCATTGTTTAGTAGCGTGTGTTTCCTCCTCTTGTCTTCACTACTTCTTGAAGACGCCTCGGCATACTTTCCACCAGTTGGGAAATGTCCCTTTGCTGGAGGATAGCCCATTCCTCCCGAAGAGCCCTTTCAAGGTCCTGCTGTGTATCAGGAAGTGTTGCACGCGCTCTTATTCGTCTTCCTAGGTTATCCCATAAATGCTCAATGGGGTTCAAATCTGGAGAACGTGCTGGCCAGGCTAAAACCTCAATATTGTTCTGTTGAAGGAACGTCTGCACTATGCGGGCGACATGTGGGCGTGCATTATCGTGCATTAGAATAGAACGATTGTTGATTTCGTTGAGGATAGGCAACATATGAGATTCCAAAATCTCATATACATAGCGAAAAAACAACCAATTCTGTGCGGCGCTCCATTGATATCCCAGCCCACACCATTAAGGAACCACGTTGGAAAGGTTGGCTCTGGGAAAAATTACAGGCTGCATATCATTCGCTTCTTCTTCTCTACACCCTTTCACACCCGTCTGGAGATCGAAGAGCGAATCTTGACTCATCTGTAAAAAGTACAGCACTCCATTCGTCCATAGTCCAATGGCTGTGTTCTTGAGCAAAAGCCAGCCGTGTTACTCTGCGAGTTCTGGTCAACTCTGGTCCTCTTACTGGGCGAAAAGCCATTAATCCATACTCATTTAATCTTTTCTGAGCGGTACGTTCAGAAATTTGCACACCTCGAATTTCTTCAAGCTGTTGAATCGCTTGAACAACAGTAAGGTGCCGGTTTCATAAAATTCTCAAAGTCAAAAACCGGTCATCCCGTGGTTCTGTTACCGCAGGCCGTCCAGAATCGGGCCTTCTATTGTAAGAATCAGTTTCCCGAAAACGCCTGACGGCGTCTCGTAAAGTTTCATATGGAACTCCGATGGCATTAGCTGCATATCTAATGGAACGTCCATCATCAATAAGTGCCACATCACGCACAACATCCTCAGCACTAAGAGGCATTTTTAAACTTAATATTGAAAAAATTAAAAGCCGAAGACTAAGAAATGTGCTGCAAGAAACGGCACTGAACTAATGATACTGAATCAATATTTTGATTCCATAGAAAGTAAACATTGGAATCTAGAATCATTTCATTGAATTAAGGATTAAGGGTTATTGTCCTGTATTTTAACATTCCTAATTAAAAACAAACAAAAAGATTACCTATTTATTCATTAAAAACAATAGACCAATCCAAATCAGAAATATTTTTAGATGAAAACATGAATAAATCAAGTGGGTGGAATTTTTTGCCTGTCAGTGTATTTCCTTCACTATCCATAATGCTGAAATTGCAGTCATTATTGGTACTAACCATATACTTAGTCTTATCCATATTCATTTCGAGCCCCAGTTCTTTACTGGCTTTCATCAATGTTGTATTTAGTTTTATTGTTTCCATATCTTTGCTTAACAGTACCAAATCATCAGCACTCCCAAGCACGGATGTTCTTCTCAAAATAATAGACTAATGACTAAAAATTTAAAAAAAAGTTTATATTGACATCTGCAAATTGGTTTCTGAATTCTTCGTGGTATTTATAATATTATATTAAATTGATAAATCTCTAAAAAACAATAATGGCCAAAGTTTACCTATACCTTGACAACTGATGGCTCTGGCTCCGACAGATGAAGGAGAAGACATACGAGGGAAGCTTCCAAGTGCTCTCTGTAGCCGCTCTGTCCTGGTCGCTCCTTACAATACAACTGTCCGAAAAGTCTAAGAGAACCACTTCTCAGACCTATTTCTTCCTAAAATTAAAAAAAAAAACCTGATTAATATAAGAAAAATTTAATGATACAACAGAATATCTCAATATCTCTACCTTCTCAAAAAAAGGTTTCAACCTTAATGCCAGGGGCAATTGGATTCTAGCAACAGTGTCCTCACTGAGCGCTGGTACCAGAGAGCTCAGGCTCAACATCGACTCCAACGACACCTTGGAGTGGGTCGAGTCCTCAAGACCTTCCAGCAACGATGTCAATACACTACTCATATGTTTTTCTCTCTTTAGAAAATAAATATATTATATATTAGAATATTATTTGACTGGTTAAATAAATAGCTACAAATAAGTGGGATAAACAGTAAACATAATTTTTAAGAGCTACAGAAAGATAAAAAGTGTTAGGTCTAGAATTTGAAAATAATAGAGTAGGCTGGTGATTTAGCAATAGTTTGACAGTACCGATGGTTTTCACTGTTAGAAAGCTTATCAACAGTTGATAGTCTAATCTTTTGAGAAAAAAATATGCAAATAATTACATAATGATTTATTACTTCCAAATAGTTATGTTTAATATTAGTATTTATTTAATGAAAAATGTCTATTATATTATATGTTTTATATTCAATTTTATTTAATTCCAGATGTATAAACTTTTGTTTTTTGTTATTGTTCTATTATAATTTTAAGCATCTTATTATTGTGTATAGGAGAGGTATATAAAGAGAGATAAGTGAGAGAAATTAAATGTTGAAAAAAACAGGAAAAACAACATGAACAATGAAAGGAATATATATATATATATATATATATATATATATATATATTTATTATACTCATATATACTAACCACTTCTGTATATTTATATATGCTTTTTTATTTTATTATTTGGGTTTTATACAACTTAAGGAGTCATATCCCCAACACCCAAAAGCCACTGCTCCCTGTCCATCTAATCTCCTTCACGAAGCCCTCTGGCTGCCATGCTTTCCTCCACGTCCTCTGTCCATTTCTTCTTTGGCCTTCCACGCTTCCTTCTTTCAGTTGGCATATAGTTCTAAATTTTCTTTGGCCAGTGGTTCTCATCCATCCGCATTAAGTGGCCATACCACTTTAGCCGTTTGGTCCCGATCAGGTGAAGGATGTTCTTTGACATCCGACCTTGTCTCTAATAGCTGCGTTTGGGATCCACTCGATTCTTGATATGCCACAGCTTCTTCTCCAGAAATCCATTTCCATGGAAAGCAACTTATTTTCCAACTTTTTTGTCAGTGTCCAGACTTCTGATCCGTAAGTGGCTACGCTTTCTACAAAGGAATGGTATATCTTCTTTTTAGTTTCTAATCTTATTTCTTTACTCCATAGGGTTGAATTTATTGAACTTATTATTCTTTTCCCATTATTTATTTTATGTTCGATATCAACCTCACTACCACCCTTTGAAGATAACCAGTATCCGAGGTACTTGAACTGCTGGCTGACATTTAGCGTCCTGTCATCAATTTCAAGGGGCAAATTTGGAGTGTTGAAAACCATATACTCTGTTTTACTTTCACTGATTTTCAGACCCCATCTGGAATACGTGTCTAGCAACTTCCTCATCATATAGCTAACATCATCCGGATCCGATGCGATTATGACTTGATCATCGACATACTGCAAATTGTAGATGACATCATTCCCGATTTGAACACCCATTCCACAGCACGATCTTTTCCAGTTTTTAAGGGCTTGTTCTATGTAAATGTTGAAAATCAGAGGTGAAAGGCAGCAGCCCTGTTTCAATCCTTTGTTAATGAAGAAGCTTCTAGACACTCTATCTCCTATTTTTATAGCCCCCTTTATATTTTTATATAGCTCTTGAATTGCTCTGATGAGGTATCTCTTAATAGATGTGGCTTCCAAAGCTTTCCACGATTTCGCTAGAGGTACTGAATCATAGGCCTTGTGTAAATCTACAAATATCATATGGAGTTCACGGTCGTGGGCCATCCTCTTTTCTATAAGTTGTGAGAGACTAAAAATGTGATCAGTGTGTGATCTTCCAGCTCGAAAACCTGCCTGTTCCTCGCTGATCTCTTCCTTTAAATCATTTTCAATTCTGCTTTTAATTATCTGGCCGTATAATCTACTCAGCGAGCTGGTAACAGTAATACCTCTGTAGTTGGAAACGTCTTTCTTTTGGCCTTTTTTGAAAACTGGAGTGATATAACCCTGTTTCCATTCTTCGGGGATCTCTCCACAATTTAACAGAAGTGTCATACTTTCTGCCAGTGCCATTTTGAGTTCGGTCGGGCCTGCTTTAATTAATTCAATTGGAATAGAACCAGGGCCGGGAGATTTTCTATTTTTCATTCCTTTGAGAACTGAATCCAGTTCTATGATTGTGACTGGCAGTATATCTTCCTTATTTGAGATCATTTCATCGGATTGGTTCCATGCGAATTCGGGTCGTTCCTCATGGAATAATTCTTCAAAGTAATTCACCCATTGCTGCTCTTTGATCAATGGGAAGTTATCTCCACATCTTTTGCGATTTTTCAATTTTTTTAATGTCCTCCAAGCAGCACTAGACTTTTGTCCATCAATGTAAGTGTCCACATACTTGCAGGTTTTCTCCCAATAGATATTTAATGCCTTCCTTCTAATAGCTTTTACTTTTTTACATGCATTTCTATATTCCCTCAGGTCCTTCTCATTTTTAGAGCTCAACCATTTATTGTATAAATATTTTTTCTCTTGAACAGCCACTTCAGCATCCTCATTCCACCAAGGCTTGTTTTTTTCTCTAACCTCTTTCCTTTCCTCTCCGACAGCTTCTAAAGCTGCGGCATGCAGGCACTTTACTATATTTTCGTAATTTAGCCGATCATTCAGACCTTTCTCATGATTCAATTTCTCCATCAGTCGGCTTTGGAACAGTCCTTTAACTGATTCTTGATTTTTCATACTCTCAATTGAGTATCGAATCGTTTTCGGAGAGTCTGAATTTCCTCTGGTCACTGGAGAGTTTCTAAGAAGATTATGGGGTTTAAAATTCAGAATACTCTTTAAAAGAAAGTGATCCGAACCACATTCCGCCCCTCTCATCACTCTAACATCGTTCACCTTTATCCTAGTAGTGCGCCTGAGGATTACATAATCTATGATTGATTTTAGACCTTTAGTGGGCTGGTGCCAGGAGAATTTATGAATTTCTTTATGCTTGAAGAATCCATTTAATATTTTCATGTTTAATTGCTCACATAAACTAATTAATCTTGCACCGTTATCGTTAGTTACCTCTTCTCCAAAGCGTCCCACGGTCTCATGACTTTGAACTTGCTGCCAACACGTCCGTTAAAGTCGCCCAAACAGATAACAATCTTACGATCAGGTGTTCGCTCTATCAAGTCGCAAATATCATCGAAAAACGTGTCTTTTATGGATTGCTTGGAATCTTCAGTTGGAGCATAGATCCCAAAAATAACAACCTCTTCTCCAAACAATGCCATTTCAAGTTTAATTATTCTTTCATTTACGCATTCATAATTTTTAATATACCTGCGCAATCTTTTGTTAATCACCACTGCAACCCCTGCTCTAGCTCTCTCACTTTTTTTCACTCCACTGTAGATATACACGAAATCTCCTGAAAGTTCATTGTAACTTCCTTTGATTTTAGTTTCACTGAGGACTGCCACATCGATATTTTGCTTTTTCAGTTCATTTTCCACTTCGTTTTTCTTGGTCCTCAAACCTTGAACATTCCACGTACCAAAAAACATGTTCCGTTTCCGCGCCGTTGCCGATTAGATCCGTCCAGTTTTCTTTCTGTTTTGGGTTTGAAAGCGAAATATTTTTTCCGATGAAGGGGTGCTGGCCCTACGATCAACCTTTTTTAAACTGCAAGGACAGTGGTTTGATTTTGGAGTTGCCTTCCCCTAGACAGGTTGCCTTCACTATGGCTATGAGTCCTGTCCACCCAGGTCGCAGTTTAACGCCATGCCCGGGACACATATTTATATATATAAGTTTATATATTATAAACTATTATTATAAATTACTATTATTATAAACTATTATATATTATAAACACATATTTATATATATAAGTTTATATATTTATATATAAGTTTATTTATTGTCCTATGGATTAACTGGTATGCTGCGTGTATAGCAACCCAATATAATTGGGTAGCAAGCTTTTATATTTTATATGAAAATAAAGTGTTTCTCTCTATATATCCCAATATGTGTGACATGTCAAACTACTTTCCACTTCTAAGAAAAATTAAACTCAAAAATGTCACTTTAAGATTTTTTGTTTAAAAAATATACAAAATCAAATTATTCTTCAAAAACAACCTTGAATACTTCTGTAGATGTAAATTTTATGAGTTGTAAAATAAGATAAATTGACTTAGCATTAGAACATGAGCAATAAGTTTCACTACACCAATAGTCCGATTTCGATGATTTTTTTTGTGAGTAATTTCCCTATCTTTCAAATAAGCATACAAATAATCAACCAAACAAACTTATATAATGATTTACATATGAAATTTTGCATTCATTGAAACATCCTTCCAGCTTATTTTCGGAGAAAATTTTCAGCAAATTTCATTAAAATTTTAATTCCCTATTATGTAACCTATTATGTATCAGCCAGAATTAATAATCCTTTTGGTTTTTATTGTTATTCTTAAGAGAATTGTTCCCAAGATAAAGCTGATTTTTCTACATATTCTATTTTAAAATCTCTTTTATCATTACTGTCTGTAGAATCACACATTTTTTAGCCACCATTTTGAAACAAAATAGTGGATCGTAATGTCATTGTTGAGAGGATCATCCTTAAGTGACCTCTGGCTTAGATACCAAATCTCAAATCAATAGGGCCAGTAGCAAATAAAATTAAAAATAAATTAAATTAAAAAAGAAAGCTATTAAACTTGATTATCTCAAGTTGCATACATTTGACGACCTCCTAAACATTTTTAAATTTGTAGCTGGTCCATTATAAAAAAGGTTCATTATCCCTGTACCAGATGATCTTTTTGTTAGGCTACAATCCTGCACTTTCATCTGTTATTCTCCTTTTAGAGTGTACATCAGAAATCTGATGATTAATAAAATAAATAATTAATTAATGAATGGAAGAAACCTCTATTGGTGGCAGCTGAGCAGTATATCGAAGACCTCTTAGGGCAATCGCTCTGACATTATGGTCGGGAGCAGTAGCCGCGGATTCCAGACTTGCAACCAGGCTATCAACCAGGGATGCCTCACCACCAGTAGAACATTGAACTGCAAGGCACTAAGGCATAAGTCAAGATTATTAGGAGAATGCATTATAAAGAAAAATACATGTATTTTGTTACTAAATCAAATGTAAATCTGGACGTGAAATACAATATTTTGGTGATGATCCAATATATCGACAGCCACACTGCAAAAGCCTGTAAGAACAAAAACTAAAAATTTTGAAGAGACGAAAAAAAAACTTCCTAATTTTTGTTATATGAGCATTATATTTTCAGTTCAATTTTTTTTTTTTGCAGGTCTAAGATAAATATGTAATGCTCTATTTCTGCCAAATAATCTTTTAGAGCCATTACATCTAACTTATAGCTTTTTAATTATTTTGAAAATCAGATGTTAGTTAGGTAAAAGCAATCAAATTTATTGTATTGACACACATAACTTTGTTAATAATGATCAAAGCATGACAGGAACAAAGCCAGTTTCCAAAACGTTGAGAAATAATATTTCAAATGAAAATTTGTAAAATATTTGACTGGAAAATAAAATATTTGATCACACGGGTCATTCACTTCTTTGTCTCCCACTATAGGGACGGCTCGGACGGAGTGCATGCGTTCCATTTTGGAGTAGTCTATGATAGATTTATTTTTAACGTGCTCAACTTAATATGGACATGGTTTGATTCACGAATATTTGTTAAGTTCTAGGTAACATGCTGATGTGTAGATCACTTCATTTCTGAGCTTCTTGCAATTTTGAATATTCAATTGGTTCGAAAAGATAAAACTAGAGTTCTTTCTTCGTCTCATGTTAAATTTTTCAATTAATGAAATCAATTTTCTGTTTCTCAAAATGCGGAATTTGGCGGTATTGTAGCTTTTTTCCAGTCAAGCTCATTTTGCAGTGCCCATGAGGTTTTGATTGTTTTGAAGGCCGTTTAATTATACTGATAAATTAATACCCTATAACATAATAAAAGATAGTTTAGTGAGTATATATATATATATATATATATATATATATATATATATATATATATATATATATATATATATATATAAGTAAAAATACCAAAATTTAGCCAATTCTAACGATTAGTTTCAGAATTATGGGCTTTTAAACTTTTAAACTCTCTTCTTTGCTTTGTCTAGTTCCATGGTAAGCAGGTGCCTACCTCAGAGCAGGGAAACCCGGGCATTTGTCCTTAGGCGCTGGGGTGGAAGTGCCCAACAATTTAAGAGAAATTAAAAAAAAAAAAAGAATACAAAGCATATGAAAAAAATTAATTTTAGCCTATTAATAAAGCTAATTGATACTATTGTCTATAAGCAAAAAGCTTTATACATTCTATATTTACATGACCACCTTTCATTGTGCATTCCATAAAAATGTTTCAGTAACGACACAGTCTCTATAACCTTCACTGTAACAGTTTTTTACATCATAATGTACTGGTTTTTAACATGTTTTTACAAAAAGCCATAGAGAAGAAATGAAACACAGTAGATCAAACCCCTGCTGGGACCAGAATACGCACCAGTACAAGATAGACTAGAAAAGCTCAAAACCTCATTTTCCATAGAAATTGCCCTTACAGGCTTTTGCAGTGTGGCTTTTGATATATTAACCCCACAAATTTTGAACATCTATAGCGGAGAAAGCAGACAAGAAGAAGGGACAGAAAGAGTTATTCTCGTGATGCATTCATGTTAGTTGATTAACATTACCTAGAATTATTATTATATTTGATAAAAAAGCAACTATGTAAAAAAAAAAAAAATTTTGGCTTTGAACTATTTTAACCTTTGCTTCGGTCTACCCCTCGGACGCTTACCATTCGGCACAGCAAATATTAGCCTTTTAGGAATTCTCTCGTTACTAAGGCCAACAAATTTACAAGCCCATTTGATTTGCCGCGATGAAATTATCTCAATTATATTACTCGGATAAAGTTCACGCAATTCGGCGTTGTGTAACTGTCTGAACTCTCCAGTTAACTCATCCTTCTTCGGTCCGAATATTCTACGCAATACTTTATTTTCAAAAACCTTAAGACGCTGCTCATCCCTTAATGTAAGCGGCCAAGTTTCGCACCCATAAAGAACTGTACCAAAAGAACTTTTGGTAAATAAATTTAAGAACTTTGAAGAAATAAAGAACTTTTGGTAAATAAATTTTTTTTTGAATTTATTTACCAAAAGATTTTAAAATGTATTCATTTGCCACAAATTCAATACAGAATCTGCTGATATGATAAGTTTTATCATTTTAATTTTATACAAAAATTCTGAATCATAAATTTTCAAAATAGTGATAAAAATATCTAAAACTACCTGTAGCTAAAATCTCTCTCCAAATACCTCAATACAACCATGTATTAATGAAAACAGCATAAAATTATCTATCAAATTCAAAAATATTATTAGTGGGCTTTTGAGTTTGAAGAGTTTTACTACACTTTAAACCCAATACAGTAAATTTTAATTTACCAGTTACAAATACAAGTGAAAATTGCTTAAATCTCTCTCCAAGTATCCTAGTATAACCACATATCACTGAAAAGAGCATGAAATTATCTAACAGATTATGAAACAATAGTTGTGGAATTTTGATTAATAAGAGATATGTTATAATATAAATCAAATAAGCTTTTACGTGATGCAGAAATCGTTTATTAATAGATATCGAAAAATAGCTGTAGCTAAAATCTCTCTCCGAATACTCCAAAACAACCATATATTAAGGAAAACAGATTGTTTGGTTGTAAAGGTTCTTAAAAAAAAGACTTAAACATATGTCAAATAATAACAAATAAAATAATAATGATAAAAAATACCTCAGCATAAAAAGCAGTAATGATAATCCTTTGGGGTTCACAGGTGGTAGCAGCATACTGGTTAAGAACAACCATTAATGTTGGCAGTAACGTAGGAAATGTCTGACAGATACTCCTGTTGTAGTAGAAATCAAAAGATTACTTTTCTATAATATCAAATTATTTTCAAAATTTATAATCATGGAAGCTATTATTTGTCAAATGTGGTAGGAGATATATTAAATTAATAAATTTAGCATTGAACAATACATTTTATATTTAGAATTATTTTAATAAAATGAGGTATTTAGGTAATTTTTATTCAATTTTTTTTTTCACCTATTTATATATTAAGAGGAAGTATTAAAAAAAAAAAAATTGAATTCTAGGTTTCAATAAAAACACATGTTTTAGGATCTCTAGATTCCACATAATGAAGCCTCACAAAATAGTCTCTGTATGTGTGTACGTGAACAGCCTAAGTCAAAAATAAATGGCCATGGAACGCTGAAATTACATATATAACGTAAGTATATGTTAAGGATGTTTAGCAACTTTTTCAATAAAATCGGCTAAACAGATGTGGCACTTTAAATTAACGAGTTTACAGATTTTTACAATTTTCTCAAAAACAGTTCAAACAATTGTTATTATAATTATTATCACTGTTAATTTCTGATGGATCATAGGGCATCAATTCTGCTCTTCTTGCATCAATAAATTTTTATTAAATTCTTTATATTTATGTATAATTAATTGATCTTTAAAATAAGGTAGGCATTGACCTCGTCAAATAGCCTGGCAGGGCTTAAGTGCTGTGACTGAGTTCAAAACTATGGCTAAAAATTTCTTAAGGCTCTTACTTTTTTCTTCTAGATAAATACAAACATTAAATAAATACAAACACAGTAAGTTGAGGTATAATGGACACTAATGCATCGATGTGGGTCAGCTGAGGAGTCGAAGATAGAGCTTTGGCACCAGATTCACAGCCCACGGCTTGCAGCACCCTTTCCAAGCACTCCTTTACAACCCTGTAATAATTTAATTATTAGTTATTTAAAATTTATTTACAAAGTATTGTATACAACTTATTATCTTAAATGAAATCTGAATTAATAGAAGTCTTAAAAAATAATTATATTACTACAGTGAAAACTTGCTAATGAAAACCTCTCCCCCAACAGACAATATTTAGATGTCTCTGTCTGGAAGAATAGAAATGTAGACTTAACTTAAAATTCAATATACTTCAGTCATTGTTGTTCTTCCCAATTAAAACATTAGTCATGGTGCTGGGTAAATTTCTTACAATAACATGAAAATAGATATTAAATTTCAACAAACAAAGAGTTTTATATGCGGGTCTAATAAATTGACAATTCGAAGAAATAGAAACAAAAATTAAGAATTAAAAAAAATATGGTATGTGCTCAAGACCACAAGATAGGAGTTAAAACATCATCAAGGCAGAATTAATAATATGAAATGTACATTTTTTTTTTTATTCTATATTCACAATTTACAATATATACAATTATAATTGTGTAAAATTACTCTGGTAAATTTAGCTCTGACTGATCATCATTTGCATCATACCCTAAAAATGAAACGATAGGCCAAATTTTCAAAACAGTCTTTATTATTTGTTTTTTGGTGCTATTTTGTTCCCTTTCCGACTCTCTAACTCAGCATCACGTCAAAATAAAATTTTGAATTATAACTCATTGCAAAGTAGAAGCAATGCTAAAAATTTCCCTCACTTACAGTATACATGTCCGAATTTTAGTTCTGGAGATATTTGAATCCAAATGTTTAAAAAAACTTGTTATTATTTGGTTTTTGGCACTTTCTTTTTCCCTTTTTGCCTCTCTAAAATGGTTTCGCTACAAGACACAATTTTCAATAATGGCTCATTCCCTCACTTATAACATGCAGGCCCAATTTTTAATTTTTGAGATATTTTAATCCAAATGCAAAAACAAGTCAACTTGAGTTGACTTTATCAGAATGAGCGTTAAATAGCCAAGCATGATGGTTCAGTCTTATCCAATACCCAAAAAATAAAGTGCCTAAAGAAGTTTTCACTTCAAAAATGTCTAATTTGCCCGTTTCCTAAGTAGTTAAGGTAAATTTATAAACACTTAAACTTCTAAAAATATTGAGTGCATAAAATCAATAAAATTACTGTTACAAGCACACACTTGTACATAGATATGTATATAGTCATATTTTAGTAATGAAATATCCCTTCTAAGCAGATACTTCTACTTAACGGATAAATCCGTTGGATCTGTGGCTATCCACTTTGGAGTCGTTTCACTGTATAATGAAGAGCTAATCGTATTAATAATGAGGATTATGGTCCACATATAACATAAAACAATTAAAAATTACATAACTAAGTCGAAGGAAATGTAATAACAGTAACAATATCCATGAACATGCTTGAGAAAATTCAGTAACCAGAATTAAGTTAATTTGACGACTTTTAGAAAATAAATAAGAGATATTAAGGGGGGGAAAAAGAACCTTTTAAGTGAAGATTCAAACCTCGCCTTGTATGTAAAAGTCACTAAGGATCTTTTTGGAATGATTTTAACTTGGTGTCTATGTTTTATGTAATAGAACATTGTTATTCAACCTTAAAAATATCATTTAATTTTATTGACTCAATCTCACTTGGGATAAAGTTTATTTATAGTTAAATCAAATTGATGATTAAGATCACTTTTATATTAAATTAAATGTTTATTTAATTTGTCAGAAGTGTGGAGAGAGAATGACAGTGGGCCAAATCTTCGAGAGTTGTGCCTTTTACATCACAGAATTAAACAAAAGAGGAATATCTTTGGTAATACATTTGGTTGCTTTGGGAAATGATAAAAAATCTTGAGCAAAATCATATGTTTTCTCTCTGAAAACATATGAAGAAGAAATCTTTGAAAATCTCTGAACCTCTCACGCAGCACTCCCTACCACATTTTTTAATTTATTTATTTATTTTATTTAATGTACTAACTTTAAATAACTAAACTTTAATAGTCGTAAACAACTTTAACCTTAGTGTGCATTTTAGGTCTTTTTAATTTTATTTTATTCCTGTTATCTACAACCAGAAGATATAGTAATATATAATTTTAATTAACGGCGTTGATAACCAATAGATTTTACGCCTTTACTATACAACAACAACAAATGTTGAATTTGTAAAATATTAATGCTTAAAAAGTCTTTTCAGATGGCTTTGGAAGCCGAAACGTTGCCATGGTAGCCAAGGAAATAAACAACTGGTGAAATTTTTTATTAATTAATATTTTACCAACTAATGAGAACTCCAACTTAAACAGAAATAAATAAAAATCCAAGTAACTATTGTTAGTTTTCTATTATAATTATTTGATGATCAGATTCCTTTCTTTAGGTCTTTTAAACAATTTACAGAATTTGCTATCATATAGTGGGTTTTTATTGCAGAAAACAGATTTTTTTTATAACTGCTAGTAATAAACTCTACTTACTTATTGGGTACAATCTTAAAGGCATCTCTGTTGGTAATGACAAGGGTGCTCTTGTTGGGACTGGCCGCAAGAACTGGCGGCGAGGTTCCAATGAATGCTGCAAGTATCGTCATCAAACTTGGCAGTAGCTGAGCCAAATTAGCACGCAATAGCTCTGCGATAAGTTCACTCTCAACCATTTCACTTAAGGCACACGTTGCCTGAAATATAATTCGTCATAAGTCATCTTTACTTAAGTCATCTTAACAACTTTAAGTTGAATTAGTAAACTTTCATTTGATTCTAACTAGAGTAAAATAAATATATTCTGAACATATTTAGAAGCAATTAATTTATAGTAGCAGACACAAAATAAGGCAGGAGGGAATTTTTGCCAACATAATAATAATAAGTTTATTTAATTTAATTTACAATTTACAAAATGTACATAAAAATCGGTCATGTTTTCGGTACATTTCACACTACAGGTATTTTAAAATTATAAAGTTTAGTAACTTCTTTGTAATTTAACAGTAGAAAAATTATAAAAAACCTACATAAAAAAAAACAACGAAAGATAGAGAATAATAATAATAATAAAAGAAAACTATATACATCTAAATAAACAATATAGTTTATGTAAATAATGTAATATTTTGTGCAATTTTATTTTAGTCAGTTTTTATTCAAGTAAAATGTGTTTGTACATCTGTGTTTATCTTCTTAAGCTTTGCTTTTATCTTAATTAAGGGGTTTACAGAAGTGTTTGTGGAGTTGAAAAAAATTTTGGTCTGGGAATATATGAATTGTTTAACAGTCTGACATTCCAAATCGTTTAACATGTTGGTTATTCTTGTGTGTCTGGGATAATCCTTTATGATTCTCATACACATATTTTATACCCTTTCTAGTTTTTTAATAGTTTGAATCACATGTGTAACTCCATACTGGACAAGCAAATGTTATTAAAGGACGTACAACTGGTTTATGTAAAATAATTTTGTTTTTATAGAAAGAGAAGATTTTCTTCAACAGTAGGGAGCCATTGTACTGATAAGCTTTACCACATTTGTGTTGATATGAGATGTGAATGTTAATTTTTTATCTATTTGCAGTCCAAGGTGGGTAACAGATTGAGCCCAGGAGATTCTAGTTTTGTTGAGGGTAATATGATTTGCTACGGTAGGCCTTTGTTTGGTGAACATTATTGCTGCTGTTTTGGGTTCGTTTATTTTTATTTTCTATTTCTAGTAGCAGTTAGTCAGTCAGGTAAATATTGATTTAAGTCTGTTCTCTATAGTGTCTATTCTGTAAGAACTTGTGTAAATGGCAGTGTCGTCTGTATACAAGGATCTTCCAACTGATGGGAGTGAAGGGAGGTCAGATATGTACAGATTAAAGAGTATAGGAGAAAGACAGAATCCTTGGGGAAGACCAGGTGATGAGAAATGTTTGAGTGATGAGTGATGTAGAGTTCTTTATGATGGTCTGAAAGAATCTGTTGGAAAGATTTGATTAGATAGTATGTATGATATACGGTGGGAATTGATATGTTATAAGTTTATATAATAATCCATTGTGCCATGTTGTGTCGAATGCTTTTTCGATATCCAGTAAAATCATCCCAGTATGATTTTTTCCATTAAATTCTGCAGTGATCTAATGAGTAAATTTGGCTAGCTGGGATACAGTGGAATGATGAATTCTGAATCCGAACTGTTCATTAATCTCAATGTTGTTGAGAGATATAAATTTATTTATTCTGTCTATAAATATTCTTTCAAATATTTTTGATAGGATATTGAGCAAGCTAATTGGCCTATAATTTCCGACTTCTGTCAAATCTTTATTTGGTTTGGGTATCCGGATGACTTATGCTGTTTTCCAGGCAGTAGGGAAGTGTGGAAAGTGGAATATGTTATTGAAAATTTTTGTTAGAAGGTATATTGCTTTTTTTGTGCTAAGGTTTTTAATGACTATTGGAGGTATATTATAATTTGGGCTTTTTTTGTTTTCAAAAATTTAATAATATTGCTTATTTCTTTTGGTGTAACAGGAGGGAAGTTGAGGGAAATTGGATTCTGAAGAAACGTTTTTACTGTTTCGTTTACTTTGTTGTTATGGTTGTGTGATCCGAAATCAATGGTAATTCGAGATGTTGAACTAAAAAATTTCACTGGGATCTCTTAGTGAAAATGCGATGAAATTACCATAAAGATTTTTCACCAGGTTTAATTTCATTGAGAGTTTGTGACCATTCATTATTTTTCCAATCTTTTAATTTATTTCTAATAAATGAATTTAACTTATTAGATAATGTTCTATGTGGTGGGCTGGGGAGAACTGATACTTTTTTCTAATTTTATTTTTTAATTTTATAAGTAATTTTAAGTGTGTATGTACTTCTTCATGAAATTATTTGGTTGTTTTTGGAATGGCTGTTGTCATTGTTGGCTTAATTATTATATTAAATTCTATGATGATATATTCTGATATAGTCTGTTGGGAATGTGATTGTGGGGTTTATTTCTAGTTATTTATCAATTGTTTGCCAAAAAGTAGGACAATTTGCATTTTTAAAAGCAAATTTTGGGGTGGTTTTATGTTTGTCAATTTTCATTTTGACTTGAAATATCACACGATAGTGATCAGAGTTTAGACAGGGTAGCGAGACAAGTTGTGAAATATTCAGGATATTTTTTTTGCCGACATACCGACGGCCGGATTAATCCAGTCTTCAAACCACCATTAGTTGGCAAGACTGACTCTCTCTTGATGCCTAGTACTCCCATTTAAGTCCAATGAAATTAGGGAACAAAACAGCCTTACTGTAACATTAAAGAAATAAATACGGAACTTGTTATAAATTGTTCATTACCCTCCGCATAATAACTGATAAAAAGTCCCAAAGAATCCCGCATCGGGTTTTGATGGAGGAAGGGAGAGAAAAACAGAAAACTGATATTTTTTAAGAATATATCAAAACTATGAGGTTTTTCGGAACGATTGATCAGTAAAATGTTAAAGTATTTCAAAATCTCTATAAAAATGACCCAATACATTTTTTTTTGATAAAATCAATGGTTACATCGATATTTATGAGATAATATTTATTGTATTTCCACTTTAAACAAAAATTGCTCCAAACCACAAAATTGATGTTATTTATAGTAAATGATGCCATTTTGAGGTTCAATTAGTTTTTTTTTTAACAAATCCGATTGTTCAACTTATTATTCACCTTCTTTGTTTTGATGATTCTAAAAAGTCATTGACAACAGAATTATATTCGATATCAAACAACGGGGAATTTCTTGATATTGATATCAAGTTTAGAATGACATTAATTTCATATAAGCAGGAATTTAAATTAGTATACCTCAAAACCTATAAAAAGTACTACAAACCCTGATCTGATCACATACGGAGAATCAGGAAACTTAAATTTTGTAATTTTTAAATCAACCACCTTTTATGTTGAATAAAACGCAATAACTTTAAGAGTAGCGACTTTATACAGGCTGGGTGTATCCTAGAGGATCTTTTGATCTCCCCCAAGGTTGATAATTACTTGCCGCAGCTGAGTTCGAATCTGGGGTCTATAGTTAATTAAATTATTTAGTTTCAGGAATTTTCATTATATTGTGAGTGTTAAAGCTTGAATTATATTTTAATTTTTTATATTTCACTTAAATTACCAAGAACAAAATTAAACCACTGTAATATTTGAAAGAGTAAGAACATCAAAATGTCTTACATTTAAGACTGCTCCATCTAAAACTGTAGTTCAACATATATAGTTATTTTCTACAAGGATACAAATAAAGTTTATAATTGTTTCTCATGTATCATAAAACTTGATTTCAATACAAAAATATTTTTATAAATTATAAATTATAATTGTTATGAAGATTATTTTATTTTTATTATTTTGTTATTAGAATACTTATAAATTATACAAGTAAAATTATTTATTTTTTATTGAAGAGAAGAATGGTTGGGGAGATCAGTAAAAAAAATAAAGTAAAAATAAATAATTATATTTATTTTTGCCGATGTTTTGGTCTAAAGTTCAGGCCTTCATCAGGGCTGGTCAAACGAAGGGTTCGGCAAGACCTTTTAATTTTTATTTATTTGATTTATATTAAGTCTTGCAGAACGCTTCATTTGACCAGTCCTGATGAAGGCCTGAAGTTTGGACCGAAACGTCAGCAAAAATAAAAACAAATATAATTATTTATGTTTACTGATCATTCCAACCATTCTCCTCTTCAATTATTCACTACAGTCAACGATCAATCCACAATTTTTTTTTTTTTAATTCAATTGAGTTCTTTTTGGTTTAATTTTATTTATTTTGATCATAATATTGGAAGAAAATATTTTTTTATTATAATTATAATTCTATTCATATTATTATGCTGACAATAATTCTAAAATATTTTCTTTTAAGTATGCAACCATAAATCTGGAAATAATTCATTTCTATATTTCTTATTTACCCACAGCAAAAATATATATTAAATAAAATAAATTAGAATCAATGAATCATAGGGGAGAAGGATCATGACTAATTCTACGATCATCCCTCCACCTTCCATGAGGGGTGAAACAACAGATGAATGATTCAAAACCTTTAATATTTGAACGGTAAGTTTGGTTATAGAACAAGAATTGGTAATCCCACAATGTCTCTTATCAGCCCAATGTTGTGTCTGCTACAATACATCAAAGCGTTGTGAGAACAAGTTAAAAAGTAGATATAATCATAAGACATTTTAAAATTGTTTCTCCCCTTATTTATTAAAATAGTATGCACTAATAACTACAGAGCAAATAACCTTATTCATTCAAAAAGATATATTTTCTTTCTAATTAACATAAGTACATAAATCTAATGATTAAAATATCAATTTCAATTATTCAATTTATATCATGACCTTGGTTTGAAATAGGTTTTAACAAACAAATTTGGGTAAATTGAGATTTCACTCAGAAATCACTTAAAACAAAGTTATCTATGTTCCGAATGAATTTTGTTCCATCAGTTAAAAGATAAAGAAACTAGCAGAGCAGTGTGACATGGTTCCAACTACTAAAAACATTTGAAAGTAATTGGTTTGAGAAGGTTCCAACTGCTATACTATGTAGCTGTGATTGATTTATAGTTATTTTAATGAGAGTTAAACATGACATTATATCATTTATATTATTAGTGACCAGCAAAAACGAATAATGAAATATTTCAGGTTCAACGTTTAGTATACTCGACAGTACGATTTGAAGAACCAAGGCAGAAGCCCCTAATAGTACAATGCACTAAGTGTCAAAACTTAGGGCATACGAAGACATATTGCCATCACGAGGCCAGATGTGTTAAATGCGCCGGTTTTCACGCTTCAGGCACTTGCCAGAGGCCAAAAAATGAGCCCGCTACATGTGCTCTTTGTGGTGAAGCCCACCCTGCAAGCTATAGAGGTTGTGAGGTGTATAAAAATCTTCACAAACAGAGATCACGCAACTTAGCGACGAAAACCCTTGAACCTGCTCAAAAAACTTGTCCTGAGCCACCTGAAATTGAAAATCAGGAAACTTTCCCAGCTTTGCCGACTTCACCTTCCATCGCCGTCCAACAACAACCATCCATCTCTACACTTAAGGATTATCCTCAACAGAATTCAAGAAATTCTCAATGGCAGCCTTGCATCATTAAGAAGCAGCCTCAAAGTCAGGCGCCTCAAACCTCCCAATCCAAGCCCAAAAGCTCTAATACTCAACCTCAACAGCCTCGTCAGCCAATCCCTCCCCATCAGCTACCCTTAAGGGTCAAACTCCCGCCAGAGCACCCACACCCAGCTCCACTCGTTCCTACTCCCAAGATGAACCTCCCATCACAAATCCAACAGAATTTAGATCCTACTCCTCGTACCCCACGTCAGACCCACCCTCCACCCAGCAATCCTATTCGCATAGATTACTCATAACAACCTAACGACCTAAATCCACTTCCCAGCCAAACATCATCCGACATCAACTCTATCCTATCATCATTCCTATAGATCTTCAACAGACTATCAAACCACTTATAACTCTTCTCACAAGACTCCTTTCCGAAATCCCGTTTAACTTCCGATGAATACAAAGCCCCTAGCTATCCTCTTATGGAACGCTAACGGACTACAAAACCACCGTGACGAACTAGACATATTTCTCCATGACAATTATATTGACATTGCTCTCCTGACAGAAACTCACTTCACTCAATGGACACAATTCTACATACGTGACTACATCACTTATAGATCTGACCATCCAGACAACACTTCCCACGCTGGCTCATGCATCCTTATACATAAATCTCTATCGCATTCCCTTATCACTTCTACTCCAACTGATGCCATTCAATCAACTTCTGTAATCCTTTCAACTCGTCCTTTCCATCTAACACTTTCAGCTGTATACTGTCCTCCTGGTAATTCCCTCTCTTATAGCCTACTTGATTCCTTATTTCAATCCCTCGGAGCGCGCTTTATTGCTGGAGGAGACTACAATGCTAAACACCAACGATGGGGTTGTCGAACATTAAACTCCTGCGGTAGCATCCTATCACGTGTCTCTTCTTCCAACAGTTATTCAATCCTCTCACCCATGAATCCTACATATTGGCCTACATCTCTGAAAAAACGTCCCGATATCCTGGATATATTTATCACCTCTCAGATTTCCTCCTCCCAATCCATTATCAAATCCCTGGATGACCTTTTGTCAGATCATAGTCCAGTTTTGCTTTTACTACATTTGAACTTTGCTCCTAAACCTACACCTCCTAAACTAATTACAGGACGAGTGGACTGGGACAAATTTCGTCATGATCTGGAAGATAAACTGGACTTAAAAATTGCCCTTAAGACAAAACAACATATTGATAATGTCATAGAAAACCTTAATACAACTATAACAACGAGTATAAATAATAACACAATTGTTAATAATAAAAGCAATAATTTAAGACATATTAACTTGCCACAGCATATTCGAATCTTATTAAGGGATAAACGCAGAGCAAGATTGAAGTGGCACAGGACTAGATATCCTTCAGACAAAACGGACTATACCGAATTGACTAACAAACTAAAATCAGAAATCAGAAAATATAAAACTCAACAATTACTGAACCTAACTGAAAATATTACAACAACTGACAAATCACTATGGACTACAACCAAAAAACTTCTGACGTTTAAAGACTTTAATCACCCACTTCTTACTGAATCCCAAACCTGGTCCAAATCCGACGAATAAAAAGCCCAGTTATTCGGTCAACATCTGTTCCAAATTTTCAACCCATATCCTGATATCCTTAATCCAACCCACATCGAATGTATTGAATCAGAACTGGATACTCCTCTCCAAATGTCCCTTCCACCTAAAGCATTTCATCCCACAAAAATATCCAACATCATTCAAAGATTACCCTCTTGCAAAGCTCCTGGACATGACCTAATAACATCCCAGATCTTGAAACTCCTTCCTCGAAAAGCCATCCTATTCCTTACTTTCATATATAATGCTGTACTCCGATCCACATATTTCCCTGATCCTTGGAAAATATCTATTGTCAAAATGATCCACAAACCCAAAAAGCCACCAGAATATCCATCCTCTTACCGTCCCATCTCTCTGTTACCCATCATAGGAAAAATCCTGGAAAAACTAATCTTAAAACGCCTGTACCCAATCCTAGATTCTAATCACATAATCCCAGATCACCAATTTGGATTCCGCTCCTCCCATTCCACTATACAGCAATGCCATCGTGTGGTAGGCGTAGTATCCTCTGCATTGGAGCGCGGTATGTACTGTCCTTACGGATAGATACTCTAAAGTAAATCACAACAATGTATATACATCCCGTTTTTCCCAGTCTGCAGGTGTTCCTCAAGGTAGTATCCTAGGTCCTATCCTTTACACAGTTTATACAGCTGACATCCCAACCCATCCCAACACTGTAATCACCACATATGCTGATGACACATGTATCCTATCAGTTAATAACGACCCATCTATTGCATCCCAAACCCTTCAATCCCACATCACAAACCTTGAAGAATGGTGTCAGAACTGGAGAATTAAAATAAATTCCAATAAATCCCATCAAATTACCTTCACCCTTCGTCGTAAACCAATGACTTCCTGTCCTTCACTATCCTTTAACAACACCTCACTTATTCCTGTTGAACAAATCCGTTACCTAGGACTCCATCTGGACAAACGTCTAACTTGGAATCCTCATACCAGACTGAAACAACAAGAAACTGCTTGACGTTTCCGATTACTTCAACACTTACTAGACAAACGCTCTAACCTTCCAATCAATTATAAAAGACTGATTTACATGACTATAATAAGGCCTATTTGGACTTACGGGGGTTGAGCTATGGGGCTCCACCAAGCCTTCAAATTCCTCTCGCATACAGTCCTTGCAATCCAAAATCCTTCGTAAAATCCTCAATGCTCCTTACTTTGTTACAAATAAAATTATTCATAATGACCTTAATGTTCCTTATGTATCAGATTTGGCCCAATTCAGATATCTGTCTTCCATAATAAACTTCATAACCATCCCAACCCTCTTGTCTCTAACCTTGCTTCCTATTCGATTCGTGATAACCCTCCGAGGCGTCTGAAAAGAAGATGGCCATGTGATCTTCTAATATAGACATATTATTAGAGTGCTACCAATGGGTAGTTTCTCAACATGTGTTCCATGTCTTTATACCAATGTGCGAATTTACCAGATGTATTTTTTGTATACAGTTGTAAATATCATTTAAAATAAATAATAAATTATATTATTAGTGAAGATCTGTTCTTTGAATATAACATATTTGAATTGGTTTTCAGAAGAAACGACATGTGCGATATTTTCATAATATTAAAAAAATTACGAAAAACTGTATTATACTAAAATTTTAGAAAATAAAAATTCTAAAAAAATATAGAATGAAAAAAACAAATTTTACATGATTTAGACTGATTTTAGCAATGAACATATCAGATGATCAAAACATTTTTTTTTTTTAATTTTACTCTGGTGTTGTTTTAGTGTTGATATTTTTGTCTTTTTTCTTTAATTATAAGTACATAGGCAATGATTTAAAAGTACAGTACTACTTCTGAAATAAATAACCGTTATTTCATTTATATTACTGAAGGATACAATGATTTAATAAATCAATTTGTTAAAAAAAATAAAATAAAATAAAAAAACTGAATACAAAATATTTTTATTTAATTCAGCTTTTCGATTCTTCGTACCCTCAATTAAACGTAAATCCTAAAATTTTAGTGTGCTGCTATCTGCACTAAGAACCTTGTCTCACCACGAAAATGCATTGAGGAATGGCACAGTTCTAACTGCAAAATTATACGGATTAGTGGTACAATTAAGTCCTTGACGAATACAAAATTAATTTCACAGCTTCAAGGAATTGTATAAACAAAATTGTTAGTCTAAGTAACAAAATATTCATACTACAGTAAATAGTAACTTCGAAGCTTTGTTTCTCAAAATTATAGTAAATGCAGTTAGAACCTTTTCAAATCAAGACCACAATGTGTTGTTTCAATAACAATTTATAAGAAAGAATTTGAACTTTTAATACTAGAAATTATTTTAAATAGTACAATGAAACTTACTGAAAGAGGCTGAAAGGCTGCAACCTTTGGCCTGTTGACATTTTTACTCGATTCTTCCTGATAAAGTTCACTTGACTGCAAAATTTGTAACAAGTGTTCAAGTGCGTACAAACTCAATTGTTGGTCAGCAGCCAGTTGCCGCCAACAGTCAGACAGACTCCTAAGGAAACAGTGAATAGTAACTTAGCTTCATATTTTTTTTATACTAAGTAAATTTTACAATAAACAATTTTCATAAATAAATCAACACATATATACAGGGTGTCCAGTAAGCAGAGGAAAATTTTTAAAGGAGTCCAGATCTCACAAGCTACAAAAAAGTAGATAGAAACAATAAGGCAATTTTCAGTAGTAAAATAGGAAATCCAAGTGTTTTGTATTTTTAGTTAAGCCATGTTTTGTTTTTTTTAATAGGAAGCGATAACTGAAGAAATATTTAATTTAAGTAATTAAAATTGCTTCACTGTAAACTAGACAAAATTATCTTCAAATGAAAGTGGAGTTAGTCATTGTTAAAAGCATTTAAAGAGGACTTTTGAGCGGCTAAACTTAGCCAAGTTCTGTTTTAAAAAAAATAAATTATTTGTGATTTTTTTTTTATCTCAATCACATCTCTATTGCAGAAATTGGTACGTATTTTTAAGTGACTAACTAAACCTTTTTTAACCTAATATTTACGTTTTCATGAAAATAATTTAAGCAATCAGCTAATTTCTTTATTTTCAATATAAATGTTTGTACTAGAAACATTTATTTCATCACTTATAAATATGGACGAATTTCTACAATAGATGTGTGTGAAAAACACATTCCCATAATCATTTAACAAAAAAAAAAAAAAAGTTATAAATCAAAAAGGGTATTTAGGCATTTATATTTATTATTATACATCCCAGATCATGGAAAAATAAGAAATAGTAATTTTTGCCGAAAACAGGAGTACTTTTACTTCACACGATAAAAAATTACATCATTTTTAGGTGAATTTCAAGTTTTTCATAATAAACCACAACTTAATTAATATGGACTTAAGCTTATTTAACTGGAAAGTTTTCCTAAAAGTGGGGTTTTCTGCAGTATAATTCGATGATGATAAAAAAAAAAAAAAAATTGCAAATAATTTATTATTTTTTTAAAAACAGAACTTGGCTTAGTTTAGCTGTTCAAAAGTCCTCCTTAAATGGTTTTAACAATGACAAACTCTACTATCATTTGAAGAAAATTTTGTCTAGTTTACAATGTAGCAATTGTTAATTACTTGAATCAAATATTTCTTTAATTATTGTTTCCTACTTTCTGTTGAAAATTGGTCCATTGTTTATATGAACTTTTTGTAACTCTTGAGGTCTGCTATCACTCCTTTAAAAATGTCTCTCTACTTACGCGACACTCAGTATATAAACTATTACAAAATAGATAGACATAAATGTCAAAACAACATTTTTCTTATATATTTCCTATATAATACTTCTTATATAATAAACCTTGTAAAAATGATAATAACAATCTTTAGTTTATTGCAGGCCTGCTGTGAACAAGAAGCAAGGCTGAATTAAATACCAATAAGCCATAAACTGAAATGTGCAGTTAGGTGTATCTATCCGGCATAAAGGTAAATAAAAAAAAAACATAATTATTTGTCTATGAGCTCACATGTGTAGAGGTAGAGACTGTTTAAGCAGTATATTCATCACAAGTTTGGGATGGTGTTTGGCGAGAGCGGTGACTGCATTCACTCCGTTTGAAGGATGATTTCCAACATTGAAAAGTTGAAGCAACAAGGAACCTATAAAACGTAGCAGTATTTTAAAAATTAGTTAGTTTACATGGAACAAGAAAGTAAATTCAAAATTATGGATGAAGATTTATAAAAATAAATTATAATGGATTCCCAGTAAAACAAAAAAAAAATCCTTCTTAATACCACAAAATATGAGTAGTTTCGGTCTTTAGTTCTAACATTTTCTACTACATTGCAGTGAAAGACTTACTGGAGCGAAAAAGGATGTAGTTCATGGAGCTACTTCTTAATTGGTCCAATAAGAGAGAGAATCACTTTATTATCATAAAAGGGTGCTGCCCAATTACATTGGGTTGCTTTAAACACAGCATACTTATTAATCGCTACAGACAATTTTCCAAAACTAATATACAATTATATAGTATTAACAACATGTATGAGCATAATATACAATTTTTTTTTTTATCTATATATATATTTTTTTTTATGAATTTTTTTTTCTATATTTTTATTTATTTATTTTATTTTTACTATTTCTTTCATTCATTTATTAGCATTATACATCCCTTTCTGTTCCTTCTCTCACTCTATACATTTTTCTCATTCCCTAGATTTTCTCCTCTCTTCTCCTAACCTAATTCATAACATGCATACAAATACATAAAGTGCAGTGGACGTGGTCAATAAATAATGTAAAAATGCTGTAAAACATGCATGCCTCCCCCCATGAACAAACTCTCTATCCATGCACATGGTGATGGATAATTCCCAGGGAGTCAAGGATTATATTCTCAGCCAACCTTGCCACGTCCTTTATGTCGACACCAAGGCCCTCCATGAAGCTCCTTGTTGAGTCTGGTATCGTTCCGCGAGCTCCGAACCAAAGGCCTCTCACGTGGAACTCTCTCGGCCCGAAACTCTCGCAGAACTTTTCACTAAGGAAAGGGATGCATTTCTCATATGTCTGTTTTTTCTCCCTTTCCACTTTTCCTGCCTGATCGAGGTCGTTGGTCTCAAATCTCACGGTCGGATCCAAAATCATTCCGTCTTAGGGAATGCTACAATGTCGGCATATCGGGTGGATCCATCCATATCTATACAATATACTTCCTCGAAACAGGCGTAATCTCTCTCTTTAAGGAGCCTCATCAGTTCATGTTTGACTCTGTGGTGACGGCGCGTTATAAGGAGGAAGTTGTTGGGGCATTTTCCAAGCACATGTGCTGGTGTTTCTGGCTCTCTGTCACATTTGCGACAGAGAGACCCAACTTCTCTTACCTGTCCGCTGACAGCTGGTACTCCACGCAGGGGTGCATAATTAATATTTAGTTTCAGGGCATTTGACCATTCAGACCCAGAAAGTACTTGCTTATCGTACATGTATTTATTGGCTTTCGGGGTCTCTTTAAAATGGTGAACTCCAATGCCCTGCCACCTGCAATTGGTCCATTCCTCAAACGAATTTTCTCGAAGCGACTGCCGTAGAGCTCTCATATTCCGAATACCCCGATCAACCCCCAATCTCTCGGCACATTCATCAACCTCAGCCGAATAATCAAAGATCGACTGAAAAAGGGCATCGGGCACATTGGACAGTCGCTGAGCAATGGACCAATGTTGAAGAGGAGCCTCCCATTGGCAGCGAATTAATCCTAATCCTCGATACCTCCTGGGAGCGAACAACATCGCCATGGAGGTGTTCGCAGGGATGCCAACATAAACTGAGCATTATAAAATAAATAAGAATATGTATGTGTATAGAACACTATATATCCTCCGTTTATTGAAAAAAGTCATTTTATAATCTTAAATCGCTAAGAACTTTGATAAATTTTCCCTTTGTGAAACCAGAAAAATTTGCACTTGTTTTGAGTATATTTGATATTTAAAAGGGTTTGTCATTTTGATGCACTTACTATATTTTTTTAAATTAATAAATAAGATCATAATTCATAAAAATATTCTTAAAAGTTTAGCTCTACCAAACATGTACTTTGTGACTTTTTGCAATAAACTGATGATATATATCATAACTTGTATATAATTCTGTGTTTTCTGTCTAATGAGTTTTTCCATATTTAGTTCTTAAAAAAAAAAAAAATTAAAAATTTGGCATTAGTTTCAGCTTCGAGAGAATAAGCTCCAATCTTTAAAGCTTCCTCCTTTATTCTAAGAAGGGGAAAAGGAATAACCAGAGTAATTTCTTAAAACAATTAAAAAACTTCATTTGAAATACACTTTTTTTTTTTAACTTATCACAATTTGAAGATTGCATTTGCATGGTTATCGCTGCAATCATTTAATTATTATTTTTTTGAATAATTCAACCACAAAACCATATTTAAAAAATAATCAATTATAACAATAATAGCTTAGAAGTAAACTTTACTTATGTTTTAAAGTTTTTGAATGTCAAAGTAAATTCATAATACGTACCTAATATATCGTTGACATAGTGAAAGAGCTCAGCACCTTTAAGGGTAAAGACATTGGCAAGGACATCGGAAGCATTGGAACAAGCTGATTGGTCAAAGTCTGTTAGACCATCAAGTAAGCGAGCGGTCAACTTATGGATCTGAGCATGGGGTAAACGGCTACACAGAATCTGTTTTGATACAATTTATAGTTAATTGATCAGGTAGTCAAAATATATATCGTATGAAATAATTTTGATATGGAAACAAAAATAAAATAAAATACCTTTGCGACATGGGAGGCAGTGTTTTCCTCAGGAAGGTTGTCAAATATCTTCTCGACAGCTGGGTCATGAGAATGACCTTCGTAGACGTTAGCGATTGCCAGCACGATTCCAGCAGAGTGCGCTGCCATCTTCCCTACTGCCTCATTAGAATCAAAGAATCTCACAACGAGGGTGCCAATCAAATCTCCACATTGATTTAAAGTGCTGGGGTTCTAAATCAAACAACTCCTTACTTCAAAAAGAATTAAAAACAATTAAAAATTTATGAACAAAATTTAAGAACTAAAAAAAAAAATTTCTATATATTCGCATAGTCAGTTAATAAAAAACTTTTCCTCCTTTTTCTCCTTTTTAGCTAGACCTAATTAAAAAGGAAATCCGGAACTCATCACTGGTATTCTAACAAGCCACTACAGACTTAAAAGACATCTAAAGATCTGTGGGGTAGTTAATGATGAATTCTCTGTCTGCATTTGTTCAGACAAGTTCCAGAAACTGCCCTTCACTATATAACAGAAAGTGACCTATTCGTGCAGGCTTTTATGTTTGGATAGAACCCTAAAACAGGAGCTTCCTCCATAAAATGGCCATACCTTTCAGAAGAATGAAAAGGTTTGAGACAGAGATGGAGGTGTAATAGACTACTATTGGTATTATTGTCTCTGGGATTGGCAAAAAGGACCAATAGGCCCATTTGCTGGACTGAGTTCCCCCACCAGTACCAGTATATGATTCTTTCAAAGACTGTTCTCATTTCCCTGGAGCCATATTCTGCAGATTTATGTACAGTGACTCGTTAGGTACCACAGCACTTCTATAGTTTTAAGGAATGGCGAGTTATTACCTTAAGTAATTGGGTAAGATTAGACAGTATGGCACGATGTAGTGATAGTGTATTTAGAGCACTTCAGATGACAGAAAAGGAGAATCTAGTTATCCAATATCTTATGAATGGGATGAAGATTTCTTAAGAATGGGAGGTGTCTACCAGGAGATGAGAGGATGTCCAACAGTACTCCTAGGCATACAGCCATTGATAAAGTGAATTGAGACATGAAATACAGGTCTACCAGGAGTTAGTAGATTTGTTTTTATTTTTTCAATTGCCTTTTTATTTTTTTAACTCACTATATTCTTCTCTAAAAAATTTACTTATAAAAAAGAACATATTCTAAATATACTAAGAGGTATAGTTTATTTATTTTTAAAAATTAGTAGAATATATGTTTCAAGTAATCACTGTAATTATAAAATGATAGGAGTTAATGAATACTTTTTATCATTTATTATTAATCTTTAATCTTGCAATTTGATAATAATTTTTCTAAAATAAATAACCCTTTAAGAGGAGGACGTGATGGCTAAGCGTGGTCCCTAGAGTATCCAATTTTGAATGTTGTGGGTTCGATTCCCACTAGCCCATGGTATAGACCTCTTTTAATGGAACATCCGCCTAAAACTTTGTGAAAGGCTTCATCTCATCATAACATACAACTTTTTTATCAACAACAATTCTCAAAAATGGGGTGTTTTCTCATTAAATTAATTAATTTAATGAAATACTAAAAATTCATGAATACCCATTTGCTTTTCATTTGAATAGGAAAATAGTTAGATAAAAAAATCGAGAAAAAATATATATTATTTATATATATGTTATAAAAAATAATATTTATTTCTTCGTGATCCCTAGAAATAACAGGTGGATTAAATACTCACTGCTCATTTTTTTTTTTTTGTCAATAATCAAAACAACACATTGGGATCATATTTAGCATTATTTTATTTCTACTGAATATTGTTTTTTCAAACACAGAGTATTGCATTTGAAATTTACAAATATATTTTCCATTAAGAATGGAATATTTATAAAAGATTAGTTACAGAATATTACAAAGATTATTAGCTTGCCCAAGAACTATATCATTGACATGAAGAAAAGAGTTTAGAATCCAGTGCTTAGTGAAATACCTCATTCCTTAATTTACCTGATAGCCTATTTTCATGTGGTGGTAATAGGCAAGAAGAGCAGTTCTGAGAATAGTGATCCCAGCTTGCCGTTGCTGGGGGTTGCGATGACGGACCCAACTTTCAAGCATAGTTGTAATCTCATCAAGGCGGTCAGGGCTTACATCTTCCAGAAGTAGTTCTTCGACCAGTTCACCTACAATGAAATATTTTATTGCTCTACAAGAGGTTTAGTAGGAAGAGAAAACTTCATCAATTAGACTATTATAAATGGAGGACTATTGCTTATAATCCTATTAGCTTTCTGATTGATAATAGAATCCCCATTATATCACTTTCTGAGAAAACAGTTTTTCAGTGCATATAACAAAATATTTATTATAAATTCTTTATTGAATTAAAATACAAAATTTGATGACAATAAATGTAAAACATTTTATGGCATGGAAATCCGTCTGCTGGAAATTTTATACATGTTACAAGTGCAGTATATAATCAACTAACAATTGTTTCCATTTCACAGTAGTATATACAAAAAGAATATATGAAGACATAATAATAATCCCCACATATATTATTACAGTAAGGCTCGAAATCGGTTTTGTACCAAATATAAGCTCCTGTCATGCTCAAATACCATGAATGGGGTACCGTTGGATTCGGAATTTCACGGGGGGTTAGAGAATCGTATTCTCCACTTTTGTTTTTCTTTCTAAAATAAATAAAGTCGATACAAACATTTTGCTAGGCTTCGATACTGGAACGGTGGTAGGTCTTTAGATCGATACGGGACAAATTGGATCTTAAAGATTTTGATGCGTACAGCAAGACCCGTCCTGCGTTTTTAAGCCGAAAAACGTACTATTTTCGAGATAACGCAAGGCATAGGGTTTGCATCTGCACAACCTTACATTAATTGTAGTACTGTCATTGAATACATGTCTCATTTCGCCGACTCGAGGTCTCTATGATCGAGAGAGGGGGAGTTTATATTATTCATCGATGGTGTTTTTGATCGGCAAGCCATATCATGGTTAATTTTTCACCAAATCTCAAGATTGAGCCACCAATTTCGAAGGCTTCCTTCTCCTTCAGGCTGGCAAAATAGTCCAATCACTCAGAAAATTCAGGCAAACAAGTTATAAAAGAAAATAAACTTTATTTGCGAATAACTGAAAAATTACACACTTTTCCCTTGGTTATGCCCATGATTATATAAAAGATTACTAAATTTCCTGCAAAAGGAAAACAAAAAATCATCACAATCGGACAATTTTTAGCAAAGATACAGCTCACTGAAATTTGTATACATGTTGGTTCCAAACAAAAATGAAGATTTAAATTAATTTTTGTTTGCTTTGTGGATTATATTTATTGATAAAGTAACATTTGATGTCTTAATCTTTTGATAAGTAGCATTTTCTTATTAATTTGGCATTTGATAACTATATGCTGTGCGAATTTTTCGCACGGGCCTACTAGTTATCTAATAAATTAATTATTAATTCTACCATAAATTAATACATAAACAAATAAACAATTGATAAAGAAATATTATTGTAATAAGAAATATAAAAATAGATATAAATAAGGGATAACTATTGATTTCTTAAAAAAAAAAAAATAAGATTAAAGAAAGTTGAAACAAATTTATAGAACAAAAACAAAAATGCTTGAAATATGAGTAAAAATAAATTTGATGAACTTTGCTTATGTATTCAATGATAGAATATTGTTAAAGACAAACAAAAAATTTGTTAGGAGACATAACATAAATTAACGGAAGCAGGGTGGCCAAGCAGGCTAAGGAATTTGCAATATACGCCTTGCATGTCAACCTGATAACCCGAACATTACAGGTTCGAGTTCCCGTGCAAGGTGCATTTAACTTTGGCATTAATCCATTTCCCTCTCCCCTGGCCCAGGAAAAAATTCATATAGCTGAAAAGGCAAGGTAGAGCAGAAAAGGGAAAACATTGTAACAAGCGTTACATTATTAAATGAAGTAGATCACAGATCACAACTTACCAATCCTGAAGGTACAACAATAACAAAAATTTAGAAAAATAGTAGTTTAATTTAGAGGAGCAGAATAGTTCTTTGATTCAGGCAGTATTCAACTATTCTCAAGGAGCCAGATTGGAGTCTGGCTATGACAGACAATTATTTATTCTGTTATATAAGCCATGGATTGACCCTGGTGTCAGGAAAATATTAACTTTCCTTTGGGAGAAATTGTAGTAAATTGATTATCCTCTTAGCTAAATAATAATAACAGTTGCGTGAGATTTGTGATTGGTGCCTCGAGATACTACCATGTTTCTCACCACTACACTGAGTTAGAGTGACTCTTCCTCTCCATTCGAAGAAAATGTTTCCTAGGTACATTCCTCTATCATATCATCAACTATCATCGTCCTTCTTACGCCTACAAACTTCTCCAATTCAAGTCCTCAGTCCACTCCCTTCCTACAAGATCTCGATCTTCCAACCTTTACATTCCTTCTCACAGATCTGCCTCGTTCCAAAACTCCTTTATTGCTTGCTCTGTTAATTTTTGGAATTTCCTTCCTATCAAAATTTGGCATTCTTCATTCCTATCTTTACATTCAACATTCAACCATTCAACATTCCTATCTTTACATTACATCTGAGTTTTACATTCAAAACTCTCCTATTCCAAAAACGGTCAGATACCCGCTAACCTTTTACGTAAAATTACATATTATTCATAATAATGTATTTACATATAGCTCATAACTTAAATACTTATTATCAGATTCGACTTTTTTTTTTCAACAGAAACACAGAGTTTACTGCTAAGAAGAATGTAATGTATGTTTTCTAAAAGTGTATATTTATATTTTACTATTGTACATAGTTTAAAGTGTCTTGGCAAGGTTTCAAGAGTTTGAATATAGATTTTTTTAAATTTTATTTTGTATAGTGTGTATAACTCCTTGTGCGGGCTCATTACCGCGTATGGGGAGCGTCCCATAGGTGGCGGATGTGGGGATGGTCGGTGGAAATTCCTTGGAAATTCCTCCCGGCTAACAATGAGAGGGGCCCTCCAGACTTGCTGGAGGGAGGGGATCTCCAGACTTACTGGAGGTAGGGGCCCACCAGACTTGCTGGAGGGTGTGACGTAGGATTGAACGCCCTACTCACATATCTTTAGTTCACCAAACACCACAAATAGTCATGAATCTCCCTAAGGTAAAACGCTCATTATCCGGAGGTAAACTAGTCCCCCGTTCGGGTCTCCGGGTGGGGACTGCTTTAGGGGATTCAGGGCGCAAGTTGAAATATAGGGATTTAAATATTGGTACGTGGAACGTAAGGAGTTTAAACACAGCAGGGGGGCTAAAATCGGTCGCGAATGAGGTAAATGGGTACAATTTGGATGTCGTGGCTCTGCAAGAGGTTCGCTGGCCAGGGGAGGGCTCGATGAGGGAAGGAAAGTACACTATTTGGTACGGAGAAAGCGGGAATCATTGTTTAGGTACCGGGTTTCTAATTAGGAGTAGATTACTATCCGCTTTGAGGGACGTACAATTCTTTAGTGATAGAATTTCGGTAGCTATATTTCAGGGACGTTGGTTTAAAATTGCATTAATACATTGTCCGACCGAAGACAGTGATGATGAAGTCAAAAGTGAATTTTACGATAAACTCGAATGGGTTTATGATAAACTACCGCGAAACTACATGAAAATAATTGAAGGTGACGCGAACACAAAGGTAGGAAAGGAAGAAGTTTATATTCCGACGATTGGTAAAGAAAGTTTACACGAATATAGTAATGATAATGGAATCCGTCTGATAAACTTTGCCATCTCGAAAAACCTGATAATTAAAAGTACGACGTTTAAACATAAGGATATTCATAATGTAACGTTCCCTTTTGTCAACATAAATCAAAACAATGAGTTTACTTTTTCAATATATTATTTATTTTAACACATAACATTAATCTCAAGTTGGGTTCTGACAACTGAACACTCATTCACATTTAATAAATACAATGTACACTAATTACTAAATACATATAAAGAAACGAGATACATACATTAAGAAATTATAAATTCAAAAACCTTTACTGTCCCAGTCTAAACTTTGTGGCTCTTTCTATTTTCTCAAGTTGCTGGCTAGTACCTTCTCTCTTGACAGCTTGTCACATTTTCTCTTGGCGGCTCATAATCTTCTCTCTTGGCCGCTAGCACCTTCCCTCTTGGCGGCCCGTCGCAGTCTCTGTCCCATGAGCTTGCTTCCCCCACCATCCGCACCGTAGTTCATGATCTTGCCACTTTCGCGCCACTATTTATATACCATGTAATGTTGACATTACAATAAATATACTTGGACATCACCGGATTCGCAAACACGAAATCAAATCGATCATGTCTTGATACAACACAGCTGGCAAAGCAGTATTATTAATGTACGGTCTTATCGCGGAGCAGAATGTGGGTCGGATCATGAATTAGTAATCGCGAAACTTCGACAAAAACTTAATATAAAAAAGAGAAAAGAAAACCGTTTCGATTTTGAGAATTTTAATTTGAAAAAATTAAAAAATCCATCAATTAGAAACCAATTCGAGCTAGATGTTAAGAATAGGTTTGAAGCTTTAGAGCTCCCTGAAGAGGACCACGAGGATATTGACAAGTTATGGGTAGAGATCAGGGATAATATTAAAGCGGTCGGTAACTCGTGCCTAGGAAAAAAGGAAAATAAGAATAACAAACCGTGGTTTGATGAAGATTGCTTAAAAATGTGCGAAAAAAGAAAAGCCGCTAAATTAAAAGCTCTAAATAATCCTAGCGAAGACAATATGGAATACTTCCGAACCTCAAAGAACGAAACGACAAAATTGCTCAAAAATAAAAAAAGGGAGTATCTTAAAAATAAAATAATTGAAATAGAAACTAATAGAATCGAAAATAACGTAAGAAACATGTACAAAGGTATAAACAGATCACGTAAATGTATAGGGCCCGTAACGTCTGGAATTAGGGATGATAATAACAATATTCTGACCGATCCGGTTGACATATTGAATAAGTTTAAGGACCACTTTGACAATATTTTAAATACGGGAAATTATGATCTGTGTCCTCCTTCTGAGTACCAGAGTGCTGAACCGTTAATAGAAGGACCAAGTAAAGAGGAAGTTGAAGTAGCTATCGGAAAATTAAAATCTTATAAAGCAGCGGGAACTGATAATATTCCTACAGAACTAATTAAGGCGTGCGGGGAAGCTGGAGTTTCTAAAATACATTGGTTGGTTAAAAAGATCTGGGTGAACGAGAAATTACCTGAAGAATGGAAAGAATCTATTCTTATTCCGATTCACAAAAAGGGCGCGAGGACAGATTGTAATAACTATCGAGGAATTTCACTCCTTCCGGTATGTTATAAAATATTCACTTCAATCTTAACCAGTCGAATCACGAAATACGCCAAGGAAATTATCGGAGACTACCAATCTGGATTTAGACGGAATCGTTCGACAATTGATCAAATATTTTCTTTACGGCAAATATTAGAGAAAAAATTGGAGTATAACGGTATTGTTCACCAGCTGTATATAGATTTTAAAAAGGCTTACGATTCTATTGACCGCCAGAAACTGTATAATATTCTAATCGAGCAGGGGATTCCAAAAAAACTAGTAAATCTAGTCAGGATGTGCTTGACGGAGACACTCAATAAAGTTAGAATCGGTAATAATTTGTCCGAAAAATTTGAGGTTCGTTCGGATTTAAAACTGGGGGATTCTCTTTCGCCTGTCCTGTTCAATTTGACATTAGAACATGCCATTAGGGAGGTAATGCGTACCGAGAAAGGATTGGATCTGGGCGGGACAACATCCGTACTGGGCTATGCTGATGATCTGGTACTGTTAAGCGAAGACGTTGAAACTTTAAAACTAAATACGACAACGTTAATGAAAGCCGGTAAAGAACTAGGACTCGAAATAAACGTGGATAAAACAAAATATATGGTTAGCTGCAAAAATGGCGATACTACTGGTGATATCGATATAGATGGTAATATGTTTGAACAGGTAGAGAAATTCAGGTATCTAGGTTCTACGATAACTAGAATAAACGAAATTGAAGAAGAGATTAAGGTTAGACTGAAGGCGGGAAATGCTTGTTATTTTTCTGTGACAAAACTACTTAGTTCGCGCCTCTTGTCCCGGAACTTAAAAATTAGAATCTATAAAACAATTATCTTGCCTACAGTTCTTTATGGATGCGAAACTTGGCCGCTTACATTAAGGGATGAGCAGCGTCTTAAGGTTTTTGAAAATAAAGTATTGCGTAGAATATTCGGACCGAAGAAGGATGAGTTAACCGGAGAGTTCAGACGGTTACACAACGCCGAATTGCGTGAGCTGTATCCGGGTAATATAATTGAGGTAATTTCATCGCGGCGAATCAAATGGGCTTGTAAAGTTGTTGGACTTAGTAACGAGAGAATTCCTAAAAGGTTAATATGTGCGATGCCGAATGGTAAGCGTCCGAGGGGTAGACCGAAGCGAAGGTGGGAAGATTGCATTAAAGCCGATCTGAAGGGACTGGGTTTGGACGGCGAACGGTGGAGGGAGGTGTGTAATAAGCGATTGGTGGTGTCGGCATCGAACCTTCGGATTCGCTAAGCCTTTTATTATTATTATTATTATTATAGTGTGTATAACTAATATTTTCTTTACTGATTTATCTTTATCTTTACTTTTTATGTTTGTTTTTATTTGGCCAGATATAACATTTTAATTTTGTACTTTTTTGTTATTCTGAAGGGACTTCATCCCAGAATAAAATTATTTTCCATTCTATTCTAATAATAATTTATTTAGTTATTCATGAGTACAGGAACTAGCAAGTATATTTCAAGCAGCAGTATTTTATTTTATCCAAATGGTTATTTTGGGAGGGGAAATTCCCCTTTTTCCCTGCCGTGAAACTGCCACTGGGAGCAAAGGGAAAGTTTCTAAACTCACTACAAGATTGAAATTTATTTTGGAAATGACTCACAGAAAAAATCTTGAGCCTTCCACTCAGATTAATTAGCTGGAGTACAAAGGTTATTAAATGGCATAAATAAACAAAAATAAAGAAATCATTGTAATAAAGTTTATAGTTTTCTTTTATCTGAAAATAATCTTATGAATAAATGATAAAATTACTTACCAAGTTGTTTAATGGTCTGAACTGCTGTTGCATGGTCGTAGCCATTATTGGGAGGGTCTTGACAAAGGACCCTATCAAAGCATATCTTCAAGATGTGGGTGCGACATGAGTCGATCAGTGGTGGTGGTAATTTACTAAACTTTCTTAAGAAAAATAACTAACAATTGAAAAAAATAAAATCAATTAATCATAGGTATTTGGCAATAATTACTTCCAATTAGTAACAATTGAATATATTTCTTGTATTATCAAAGTAAAACGTTCACAAGTTTACGTTTCGGAACATTTACTCCCATCTTCAGAACCACAATCCCAATGATCTTGTGGGTGCAAGGCTAAAAAATTGTTTGAGTTAAAATATAGTGCATGTTACAATACATGTCAGAATTTTGTTGTTACAATAAATTTGTAATTACCTTAAAAATCGTCAATTTCTAGTTCATGTTATAAAAATCTATGCAGATAACATCTAGAGCAACATCTTGCTTTTAGACTAATAATTGGGTGTCTGCCATAGTGAAATACAATTGACCTTTGGATCTGACTGTTTTATCTGACTATCTTTATACTATTGTTGTTAATGTTTATTTTATGTATCTGCAATTTCATTTCTATTAAATTTTAATTTTGTTTAATATGTCCGTTTTGAGTAATGAGTTCCTAAATGTTTAGTGTATTGCTTCAAGTAATTTCCTATTGGTGTTTTTTGGTTCTGTGCCTGTTATCTGTGGTTTATTGAAGTTAAATTTATGATGTAATCTTATGCTGTGATGTGCTAAAGCTGTTGTGTTTATATTTTTACAGTCAGTAATATGTTGTGAAATTCTGGTCCCTATGTTTCACCAATATAGAAAAAAAAATCAATTAAGTTTGTCAATAACTATAGAATATAAAATTTTATGAATTAAAAACTAGACAAAAAAATTTAAGTGATTGAGTGAATTAAGGCAAGGATACACATAAACAGTAATGACCCTGATAGATAAAGGATCAGGCTTATTCTGGTGTATCTGCTGAAGAACAATGTTCAGAATGTTGGTCCTGTTCTTAAGGGTGTGTTTGCTACCATTATTTTTATTACGAACTAAACTCTCACCACAGTTGTAAATAGCATCCAATGCTGCTTCTCGACATGTTCCTTCCTACAATTGATTAACGTATCAAAAAATGTTTATGTAAATGTAAAAAACAGAATCAACTATTAAGACAAAAAAACATGAATACTTTTCAGTTCATTCTCAATAATAGACATCAAGACTCACCTTTGCAACAATAATCTGTGACAATATCCACTGAGTTAGGGTTTCTAGTTTAGGGAATAATTCCATAAGAGGGCAGCGCTGGGCTATAGCAGCATAACATTCAAGCAAAACTTCACGACACTTTTCAATCTGAAGTAAAAATATGAAAATAAGAAATTTTTGGTTGCATTCAACAGAAAAAATCATAAAATCTAATTAAACTTTTCTGATATCGGTTTTACTTAATCTATTAGCAATAATTATTCAGCATAAACAAAGCAATATATATTTTTTTTCTTCTGTCAAAATATTGATTTTCATTATAGTTACACCAATGAGTAATCTATTATGAGCAGTTACTGACCTCAGCATCCACTTTGGTATCCTTCATTAAACCAAGGAGGCGTGAGTTTCTTCTGTTGAGCTCTGTTTGAGCAATAGTTTCTAAGCGAGCTAAAACCATATCCAGATGAGCCGAAGATAGGATTCCAATAGCTCTTGCACATATCTTGGAAATGAAAATAACAAGTTATTAAAATAACACAATATATAAACAAGGTACATTTTAATAAAACTTTAAAGCAATCTAAAAGTTTTCATAAATAATGAGAACAAAAATAAATACATAGTACAGCGTCCATCACACAACTTTCACTTACACTTACAATATAATTAAATTCCTGTTCAAATAGTGCTAATGCATGCACTTCTTTCACAAAAATAAGATTAAATAAACATTACAGAACAGCAATTCGATGCATTATATATTTTTGGTTTGTCAAGCTTAAAAATAATTTAAAAAGTTTCTTGGATGTTAAAAAGTACTTAATTGTTCTTGGCATGATGAGTTTAATCAAAATCATTAGAGCTATTTCCGAGAAAATTATATAAATATGTAAAAATCGTTATGCAAAGTGCCATTTCTGCCAAGCTGATACAAGGAAAATAGTTACTGTAATATTCAGACAAATCATTTACGATCATACCTTAAATACATAATTGCAGTTCAATATGACTTTCTGTTTTTGAGCTAGGCTCTTCACAGATACATGCACATGCACCTAGGCACCTAGGCATTCACACGCACATATAGATCATTTCGCAAGATTTGGTTTTTTGGACTCCGGGAACCTCAAAATGTGTATTACCATTGAAAATTGATTCAAAATTTTTCATTATCGCAATATTTTCCCTCAGAACTTGCTAAATATTTCAAATATAGATAAGTGAAAGTATAAATTAGGTTACTTAAGTATCTCAAATAGCAGTTATCAACTAATCAGTCAACGTTTCACCAACTCAAGCATCATTGGGACTGTAAACCACAAAGCATTAAGCAGTGATATCTAACAACTGCCAGCAAAGCAGATTTCATATTTTTACTCCATTAACATTATGAAGTTACAAGTCATCGACAACTGAGGTCTTGTATTTGTGGAATTATTAAATGATTACACTTCTTGTTTCTATTTGTTGTGGTAATGTTTTTTTTTTTTTATTCCTTCAAAAGTGTTATTATAAAGATTTGAACATACTACAATATCTCAAAATAAAGAAGGTACGGATAGTAGTCATTATGAATAACTAATATGATGGCAATTATATAAGCAAATTATCAATATTATCATAATCTTTAAAATCTATTTTCTTCTTTATCACTTAAGAAATACGAGATCACCTTGCTCTTCTTCCTTGCACATGAATCTCATAGGTCTTACTTGTGATAATGCTTTGATTCATTCGGAGGAACTATCATAACTTTTAACCTTTTAGGCTACACAGGAATTTTCCCAGGCCGGAGAATTATGCCTAGTTAAAAGTTCCACTGGGATTTGAATTCGTAATTGTTTTTCTATCTGGAACTTCAGTTATCAGGTTGCTGGGCAACGCACATGGTGCTGTGCACACGCATTAGCCTGCTCAGCCATCTCACCCTCAAAAGCTGTCCAAACCATCATGACTTGTGTTACACTGGTATGGATTTCACTGGTTTGACTTCAAAATTGGCTTGATTGGAATGCTGTCTTGTCTGGTCTTCCTCTCCACCTTCCGCAGATATCGCGTCTCTATAGACTGAATCTGGCACCTATGCTTTGAATTAAGGGTCCAGGACTTGGAAGAATTTCTGAGAATAGTCTTATCTTAGTCCTCTTGGTAATCTCTCTTTGGCTAAAGAGGCCTCACCTGACCGAGCAAAACATCCTCCTAGCAGCTCGCTTATATTTATTACCTTATCTTCTCGTTAATAAATCCACTTCCATTGAGCTGAGTACCCAAGGATTTAAAACTTTTCTACTCCTCCAAACTCACACCTTCTACTCTCAATACTCTAACAACCTTGCGAGGTTTCCTTCCACTTCCATTTCACTTCTTCCTGAAGGGAATTAATATTGTTCTGGAGGTCACAGTCATTGTGGTCCAATATGACAAGGTCATCTGCAAATATATGCTGGGCAGCATATCCCAGAATTGTAGCTGTAAGATCTTCTCCCTTTCTCTTCCTAATGCCAAATTGAAAACCAATAGAAAAAGAAGTGGGCTCAGGCTGCAACCCTGAAGTATGCCCAGTGTTGCCTCGAGAGGTATGGTTACTCATTATAACCTGATTAATTTGTGTATTATTTATAACAATAATAGTGGTCAATAAATAAAATAAAATAAAATAACTTAATATATCTCATGTATGATCAATATTTATTTATAGCATACTGAACCATACCAGACAAAAAATTGTTCTTTAGTGCCCATGTTACCTTTATGTTTGAGCCAGCCTTAAATCGAAGGAGTATAGTCTCAAGATCTTCTGCAACATGTTGCTTATCTTCAATGACTGCTGTGGTGATCGCCAGAGTGCAGAGCAAGACGTTCTCCTCATCCCCCGGCTGGGTGGTAGCAAGTAAGCTGGTCAATCTTCTAGACATTTCCACCGGCCATGAGCTCTCATGGCAAGAAATGGTTGTTACTGTGTTGTTAATCACTTCCAACAATAGAGAATCCCATTCAGACTCGTTCCATTCAGATACTGAAAAGATAAATTGTAATTAATAGGTATAATTCAATAATAAATTAATGAAAAAAGTGCATATTTGAGGTTTGTTGAAAAATTTCATGCAAAAGTGAAAATGTTTGTGGAACAATTCAAATGGATATATTTAAATCTATTTAAAAAATCAAGAAAAAAAATAAGTAATTGAGATCATTTCTTCAGCAACATATGGATATTAAGGTGGTCTGTAGTTCAGACCTCTTTTTACAAAGTTATTAACATCCTTCTAAAACTTCTTAAACAGCATCTTATCGTAACTTAAGACTTTTTATTTACAAAAAAAAAATCCTGCAAATGGGGCCTATTTAATCTGCAGATAAGTAAATTTTATTTATATAACGAGATGCTAAAAACTTATGAACACCAATTTGCTTTGAATTTAAATCATAAGATGATTTAATCACAAAATTTAGGAAAAAAGTGGCCTACAAAGATATTGGGCCATTTAACTTAATCTCCATCCCCAACATTTCAAAATAACGAGATTATATAGGCCAAACGGCTCAATATTTTTCAAGTCCACCTTTTTCCTCTATTTTGTGATCAAATTATCTTACAATGTGAGTGGAAAGCAAATAGGTATTCATCAGCCACTGTCTCGACCTCACAACAATTAAGAATACTTAGCAAATCAACCAAGTAAGTGAAATGACTTCAACTTTTATAGTTGGCTACTTACAAAAAACTTTTACAATGAATATTTAACTGAGTTCAAATGATATTAAAATTAATTTTATTTTTTTAATCCAAATTGATATATTCAAATGAAATATCAAAAAGTAAAATATATAATTTAATTTCTAAAGTATTCCAGAATATGTATCATAATCTTTATGACAAATCTCTCATCGAGCTAACTCTGAAAAACACACGAGTTTTAAGTGTCTCAAAAATTTTTAATTTTTTAATAATTTATTACAAATAAAAATCGGACACTCTGATGAACTTGTTTATTAATAATCCTTCATTAAGGTTATTATATGAAAGAGAAAATTATTTAAAGATATCAGAAATAAAACATGTTTTACAGGTTTTATTTAGATTAAAACTGAAAAAACACAACACTACTTTAATGGTTTAATGGTTTTTATAAGCTTAAGTATATTATTAAAAATTTTAAACATTTAAATTTCTAATATTACTTTCATCGTTTTGAATGATTTCAAGGAGTCAAATGTTAAAAAAGTATCTTTAAATAATAGGATACCTTGGAGATAGGTTATGAGTTGCGGAAGCTTATGGGCCCATAGGTCAGAGATGTGTGGACTGAGGTACCTTGAAAAGTGTTGCAAGAACTGCAGGATCGACACTCCACGGTTGTTATTCAGCGGAGAACCAAGAAAAGCAAAAGATCGGCACAGCACAGTTTCTAGACTGGGTGAAGGTCCTCCATCTTTTGGTACAACTGTGAAAGTAATTACTTTTGTTATAAAATGGAAATAGTGAGTATGAAAATTATCAATAGTAAACAAACTAGTGATGCAGAATTGAACTAAGTTTAAAGTAAGACTATAATTTTTTTTTTATTCTGGATATTTATAACTATAATAAAATAAAATTATGTCTAGTAAACGGGAACACAGGAATACAATGACATGAAAACACTTGTTGAGAAACAAACTATTGGTAGCACTCTAAAAATATATTTACAATAGGAAATAATGAGAACAATTTCTTTTTAGATGCCTCGGAGAGTTATCAGGGATCGGAGAGGAAGCAAGGTTAGAAATGAGAGTATTTGGATGGTACTGAAGTTTATTATGGAAGCATAGGTATCTGGATTGGGCCAAATCGGAAACATGTGGAACATTAAGGTCTTTATGGATGATTTTATTTGTGATAAAATAAGGAGCATTATATGAAGTATTTTGGATTATAACAATTGGATACAGTAGGAATTTGATCGTTTAGTGGAGCCCCAAAGCTCAATTCTTTAAGTCCAAATAGGCTTTATTATAGTCATATCACACTCTAAAAGAATCTAAATTCTCATATACAAAACCATAGTAAGACCAGTGGTTATGTATGGGTGTGAGACTTGGACCTTAACCAAAAACTCAGAACGCACACTCAACTCCTGGGAAAGGAAAGTATTGAGAAGAATATGGGGCGGAATCTTTGAGAATGGAATTTGGAGAAGAAGAAAGAATGAGGAGCTGCAGGGAACTCTATGGTGAACCTAATATTGTAGCATTGATAAAAAGAGCCAGAATCAGATGGTTAGGTCATGTGGAAAGAATGCCAAAGAAGATGCTGCATGAGATCCCGGATGGCAAAAGAAGTAGAGGGCGCCCTCGGATCAGATGGCTGGAGGATGTTGATGACGATTTGAGGCGGCTGGGCGTTCGAAGATGGAGGGAAGTAGCACAAGACCGTTGAGATTGGTTGGCTGTGGTGGAGGAGGCCTTGGTTCTTGCAGGACCGTAGCGCCATTATAATAATAATAAAATAGTCATATATATGAATCTTTTGTAATTAATTGGAAGCTTAGAGCATTTGTGTTGGAATCATCATCATCATGTGTGGCACAACATCCTGTTACCGAGACTGGGCCTCCTCCAAGAGCCTCCGCCAGTTGGCTCTGTCTTCTGCTGCAGCTCTCCAGTTCTGTACACCAAGCAGGGTTCTCGCATCATAGGCCACGTTGTCCAACCATCTCGTCCTCGGCCTTCCTACCCATCTTACGAGGTGCAGCTCCTCCATCATTATTTTTTTTGGGTATTTCAACGGTGCTCATTCTGGCCACATGCCCTGCCCACCTTAGTCTGGCCAGTTTAATATACGTGACTACGTCGATGTCTGCATAGAGAGAACTGAGCTCCCTATTTTTTCTTTTCCTCCAGACATCACCCTCCTTTACTGGACCATAAATCCTTCTGAGGACTCCTCACTCAAACACACTCAGCTTCATCTCATCCTTTTTAGTCATCGTCCAAGCCTCTGAGCCATATGTCAAAACAGGCCGAACAAGGGTCTTGTATATGATCAGCTTGGTCTTCTTTGAGAGGTACCTACTTCTTAAGTGTCGGCCAAGTCCAAAGACACATCTATTGGCAGCCGTGATCCTTCTTTGTATTTCTTGAGCCATGTCATTTGTGTTGGAATAGTCGGAAATGTCAAGCGGTTTCTTATCGTTTCAGTATTGTATGAAGATTGAAAGTGAGATATTTGTTCAGGTGGAGGCCTGGATATTGGATTTGTTCAACAGGGATAAGTGGGGTAATATTAAAGGATACTATACGACAGGAAGTCATAGATTTACGAATAATAAAATTAATTTTAAATAACTACGAATCTCTTAACTTTGAAGATGAATCTAATTTAAATTTTTGTATGGAATAGGTAATTATTATACAATAAAATAAGTAATTGCATTACACAATGCAATTAAATCATATAATTAAGATTATATTATATATACTATATCGATATAAATCGATTAGAATGCAATTTGGAAATAAGCAACTCATATTAAAGGTACCTTAGTTTGATTTGGAATAGTCTTAATTAATCTGTTGCTTTTACCTTCTTCGGGATTGGTCTTTGGTGCTATTTGAGCTAGAGCCTTCGTGATAGTAGGGATGGCTTGATCAAAGGCTTGGTTCATCATCAACGTAAGAAGAGTGTTCCAGAGGCAAGGCCTAAGGTTGTCCACCGTACTGCTGAGTAAGTGGATGGTAGCGGTACAGATATTACTCAGTTCTATGTAGTCCGGGATCTGTAACTAATGCAAGATATATTGGATATGTGAAGAAGAAAGCAGATAATAAGTAATGAATAGTAAAATCATAAAATGGAGATGTATTTTGTAATTTTTTAAGTTTATACAGTACAGTAATGGTAAGAACAGATATACATTAGGATTTCATCAATCCTATTTCAAAATTGCCAGATTAGAGGAGTATATTTAAAAAACAAAACAAATCAAAGTGAAAATCTCATGTAATTAATGAAAGACCACTTCTCATTGAGTATTTGCTTGTTGGTGGGTTATTTGAACGTAAATAAATTATGGCAATTTGTAATGTAAGATGAAAAAAATCAATATTGTAACATAAGAAAATATTTAAACAATACACTGAAACTATCTGTGTACTTTGTCAAAGAAAAAATCTGGTGCGCCCAACACACAACTTTCACTTACCGCTCTACTTTGAATAGAAATTATTTTCTGGCAATGCTGGGCTATTATAACATTTTAAGTGCATTTTAAACAGAGCTAAAGCTTAAAGCTTACAGATAACAAGTCATTAAGACCATTATAATTACAAAATATCTATTTAATATATCAACGGTAGACAATAAAAATCTAGTCACTCCATCTGCTTTTATAAATCACATAACTTTCTTTGCTTTTATAAACCACAGAATTTTATCTTTGATTTATAAACCAAACTCCAATTTCAACATTTTTGAGATATGTCAATTTAGTAATATTTTTATTCGAAAAAGTTATTTATGCAGACAGTGAGTAAGTTGATTCCGGAGGTGGTGATTGTAGTATTGAAATATAGAACTGAGAATAAAGGTATAAATTTAGATACTTATTTCTTATTAAAGATGTTCTGAGGTAAGATACTTCATTAAATATCTGTAGAAAAAAAGTTTTTTTAGTCTCAACAATAAAAAGGGATATTTTAAATTTATACAAATTTTCGCCTCTTCAGGAGAAAAAACTAGAGACCATATCTTTCCTCCTAATTATCCGATTTTAACGTATTTTTTTTGTTTTTTTTAGGAAATTCCATAAACTTTTAAAAAAACATATACAATATCCACAAAAAAGTGTATACTTTTTGAGTTATTCGGAATTTAATTTTACCATCCCTCGTAACTTTTTCTCCAGCTTCTTTCCGTTGAAGTATGTTATATAGATAAATTTAAAGGGTGTCGGGAAAATGGCTTTAGCGAAGTTTCATTGGAATCGGTACATTCGTTTAGGCGCTACAGTCTATAGCAACGCAGGTTTTTCTGCATTTTTATTTTTTTTCTCCTTTATTAACTTATCAAATTATTTCGAAAGTTATATGTAGCATTTTTTCCTAACTCTGAATAATGTGAAATGGTTAACTTTTTAAAATAAACCATATTAAAGGTACTTTAGAGGAAGACATATATGAACAATGGGCATTTAAGATCTGCAAAGTGACATCAACGGGGTGATATTAAAGACCACTTAATTATGCAATGATACACGGAGTTTAATCAAAATCGTTAGAGCCGTTTTTGAGAAAATTGTAAAAATGTGTTTCAGCGTTCATACAAAGTGGCACTTCCGGTTAGATGATTTTAACGAAAAAGTTACTGTCACATCCGGCTTATATACTAACCTTAAATACTTAATATCAGTTTTGTACTACTTTTTTTTTATGAGCTAGACTGTTAACATATACACACAGACCATTTTGTGACACTTGGTTATTTGGACTCAGGGAACCTCAAAACATGTATTTCTGTTGAAAACTGAGATTCAAAATTTTCACGATCGCAATACTTACACTTACTATATATTACATATATACGTAAGTGAAAGTAAAAAAGTTTAAAGCACCCCAAACAAAAATTAAATATAAGATGTGAAAAAAGATTTTAACAATTTTCTGCCTTGGGGACTGGTATCTTTGGGAATATTGGGTACCTGTTACGCACAAGGAATGATTTTATTGAAAAATATTTAGTTATCAGTAAAACTGTTTGTTTTTTTGTTTGTTATTTTAACTTCTTTTTAACTAGGCAAATAGCCTGGCAAGAAAAAAGAGACCGAAGCTAGAAATCAGTGGAGTACTCGAGGACTGGAAATTCTTCTGACTCGGAGGACTTACTATGGGGAAAGCTTGAGAGCAGCAGAACAAGTAAACCTCGAGAAGAGTATAATAGAAAGGAATAGGACAGGCCATGTTTTTCTAATATTGAGAGAGGGAACCTAAAGAAAACCTGGGTAGTGGAGGTTCATTCGTCCATGTGAACAGCAGTCTTGCAGATGGAAAAGTTCTCCTGCAGCTTCTGGATATTGGGCATCAGGGATTACCTGGATGCTTCCCTAAGCCTGAAATGTCAGAAATAAGGTCATACCAAAGCTAAATGTAAGAAAGACTTTATATGTAGATGGTGTGCCAAGTGCAGGCATAATACAGTGGCTTAATAATACAGTGCGGTCATATGGATTCGATTTCTGATTGGTTGGCCATCTTGGATCGTCCCTTGCTATCTGCTTGCTCTTTAGGCACCTCAAAACTGTTAAAATTTCATATTTTATTAGCAGTATTTTAGTTCAGAAGCTTAATTTTATTGTTTAAGTGATAGGTTTAGTTTATTAATAGGTAGTTTTTATTGAATAGTTATACGTTTTAGTGTTTTCAGTGATTGTTTTGGTTTCTTGTTCAGTGATAGGTTTCATCTTTACAGACTTATTTTATTAGTGATATTTTATTTAAAAGTTTAATTGTGTTGTTTTGGTAATAAATTTAGTTTACTAATAGGTAGTTTTTATTGAATAGTTGTACGTTTTAGTGTTTAAAGTGATAGTTAACCTATTCATGTTCAGTGATAAGTTTCATCTTCACAGACTCATATTTTATTAGTGATATTTTGTTTGAAAGTTTAATTGTGTTGTTTTAGTTATAGATTTAGTTTATTAATAGGTATTTTTTCTTCAATAGCTGTATGTACTAGTGTTTAAAGTTAAAGTGACAAGTTTGGTTTCTTCTTCGTAGACTTAAAATTGTGAGTATACTTTAATTTTTTACTTTATTTTATTAATTTTCCTTTTTAATTCAGTGGTAATGAAAGAAAAAGATAGAAATCAAGTTTGAAACTTGGTTGTATGAAGACAGTGTCTATAGTTCGAGGCTATTAGCTAACACAATTTTTATCTTGAAGTTATTAGTTTCCAGTATAAAATTGAAATTTTGTTTTCCTTTATAGTTATTGTTACTTTCATCATTAAAATATGAGTATCATTTAAGGTCAAGATTATCATTTAAGGATCATAAACTATACTCAATTAAACTATGATTTAAGGATCATCAACTACACTCATATTTTTAATATTGAAAGTAACAATAACTATAAATGAAAACCAAATTTCAATATTATACTTGAAACCACTGACTTCAAAATACAAATTGTATCAGCTAATAGCCCCAAACTATAAAAATATCTTCTATAATCAAGTTTCAAACTTAATTTCAATCTTTTTCTCTCATAACCACTGAATTACAAAGGAAAATTAATAAAATAAAGTAACAAATTAAAGGATTAAGTCAATTTCGAAACCTATATGAGCCAAATCAACTCAGTTAGAGGTGATTTAAGAGGATTTTTCATAGAGAAAAATGAGTTCTGTTGATGAAGAACACATATTTAATTGTCACAATATTAAATATAGTATTCTTAAGAGGTTTATTGTATTTAGACTTAGGATAAATTCAATAAGTAAAAAGAATTTCCCTCATATGTCTGTTTTTAGCAGTAAATATGTAAATGTATATGTGCAGCATTTATAAATTTAAATTTCTTTGTAAATAAATATTCTGTTTCATCTTTTTTTTTTATATTCCTTTGTTGATTAAAAATGTTTTCTTTTTCAAGTTAAATTGGATAGTTCTTCAATCAATTGATAATTTATTGTATTTTATCCTTACAGTTTTATGTTTCACTATTAGTTATTTTTACTTGGTATATCCTGTGTGATAAAATTGAAAATATATTATAGCCAACAATCTCTAATTTCCCAAAAAAGTAATGAAAAATAAATAAAATAAGAGATGCAATATAAAATATCTACATTATGGTAAGAGGTAAACCATTTCATAAAAAATATTTTATATCAATGATCAGAAATGAATCTATACATCGAGGATCAAATTTTGAACTATTTAAAATTTTAATTATAGTGGATTTATAATAGTTAGTGTTGTCCAAAATCAGTCTTGGTGATATACTTTGCAAAATCAAGACTAAGGCCTGCCTAACTTGTAAGACCAAGACCAAGATTGATAAAAAAATCCTTTTTATGAATAAAAATTAAGTTAAAATAGTCAACCTTGAAATAGTTGTAATAGTAAAACTTGAAAAATTTAGTTACCATATGTAAGGAATTGGTGTAACCAATATCCTTTGGAATTTAACTCTCAATTTTTCATTTGGGCTTAGATTTCCCATGTCTGACAAATTACAGTAATATATCTATAATAAGAAGCTGATAGGTAACTGGAAGACTGTTGCGAGACTTGCACAAGACCAAGACACCTCATGGTCTCGCATTTGGGCAACACTAGTTGTGGTATTCAGTCATAAGCAATATAAATAAATTATATTTATTAAATTTACATTAAATAATTTATTTTTATTAAATTTACATTAAATAATTTATATTTATTAAATTTGCATTAAATAATTTATAATTACTAAATTTGCATTAAATAATTTGTATTTATTAAATTTAGATTAAATAATTTACATTTATTTAAAGTTTTTTTTTTCTAAAGGTGAATATTAAGAAGAAAAATAAAAATAGTTTCATGATTGCTGACTTAGAATTGAGTTTCTGGTTTTCCAATGAAAGTTAATTTTCACTCAGTTTTTGTTTAATGTTTTAATAATTAAATAAATTTGTTTGTGAAATTTGCCAATGAGAGAGTAAGATGAATACAATGAAAATCTTAATATGCCTAAGTTTATTGGAATATATTTTAAAAGAAATTAAACAGAAAAAAAAACAAATATTGTTCTTTGATTTTATTATTTATTTTCGCGTGATATAAGTGATTCATATGCTTCATACAGATTGTTCAACTTCAATTCTATCTCCCAAACCATTCTAGTAAATAATTTGTTGCAATAATTACTTTTTAAATTGAAATAACAAAGACAGACTATTCAAATATTAGTTTCCCGCCGATCCAATATGGCCGTCCCCTCCGTATGACCGCACTGTATTATTAAGCCACTGTAAGGCATAATTGGAGGGCGGGGTGGCCGAATGGGCTAACGCGTGTGCACTGCACCGCCGTTGCCCGGCAACCGGATATATGATTCTATGAAATGAAAATAGTCACGAGTTCGCGTCCCGGTGCCAGAGGGGATTTTAAATTCCCCGCCCTTAGGCGATATAGGCGAGGTAGGGAAGAACAGGAAAAAAAAAAAAAAGTGCAGGCATAAGGCAAACGAGTGCCAGGCTAAGAAAAGTGGCTTCCCACCAAAGTGCAAGAATTTCATGGTGTCTGGGAAGACGCTAGATGAAATAAGGCAATGCGCTGGGAGCAGAGAGTGCACTTGTCACACAGAGAGTGCATGGGGGTGCACTTGTCAAAGATGTTGGGAATAGTAGAGAAGGTCAACTACACTTAGTGGCAGCTCTGGTTCTACACTCTTACAAGAGAAGATGCTGGTGGTTTCTGAGAGCTGCTGAATTGAATAGAGAATGTTAAGGCACAATCCTACCATGGAAGATGCACAGTTGTGCATTGGACTGCGCCACAGAAAAACTCTATTTTTATTTATCCTAGAAATAAATACAAATCCTAAAGCATTAATAAAATAAAGAACAATAACAATAAAAAGGGTACAATCGGTGCCAGTGGCATGTGCACGAATCCATTGCTGCTCAGAACCCTGTATATCAGAAATGTTTAGGTAGGGGAAGTACAAAAAAAAAAAAACTTTTTAACTGGCCAGTTATAACTATTAAAATAACTGGTTATAATAATAACTGAGATTCTGGAGGGACAAGTTTTCTTAATTGAGAGGGGAAAGAACAGAATAAATGACTCATCAGTTTCCTTGAAAAAAAAGTCACAAAATATAAAATATTGCCTGTAAAAAAATTTATACATGTTTTTACAACATGCGATTTTTTAAATATAAAAATAATAATTGAAATTAGTTAAATAACTATGGAAATTATTAATTTCATGCACAAATACAATTGTTTTATCTCAAACGATTACTTCATAAAGCCTGAACATTAAAAACCTACGAATAATGAGAATTTTATGGTTTGAATGATTGAAAAAAAAAAAAAAAAAAACTGCCCATTTCAACACTGCAAAATTTTTAATATTATTATTAAGGAAATAAATTTTTTTTCAAGTTTGGTTATTTTGCCCAGTTATTGTAATATTAAAAAAATAACTTGGTATAACCAACCAGTTATTCTCATCTCTGCTATACACAGAAGCAGATGCTCAGTTTATAACAAAAGCATTGGAGACGGAGACATTACTAAAGTAATTTGTTCTTCATTTCAAGTTTTTAGGAAAGGTTCCTAAATTAAAAAAAACATTCAAAAGATAATAGTGAAAAAGATATAGAACAATCACTAAAAATGTATTATTTTATGTTTTTAATGTTTAGACACAGAGGTCTACAAAATGCAACAATTTATTCTAAATTACATATAAAAAAATTCTATCCTCACTTACTAACTCTAGGAAAGTAAAACTAGATATTTTTAATAATAAAATTTATAATAGTGAACCATGTAAATACAACGTAAGACACTTATACATAATAATAAAACTTTTAATACATTTTAACATCAGATAATTTATAATTTACTAGGATTATTAATTTATTTAATACTAACTGTAGAGGTTTGTGAAAGAACTGAGTTTTTGACTAAAAATTCAATAAAGGCTTCATTAGAATTTCCAACATGGTAAGGACCTTCAGAGTGACTACGTTTACAAAACAGTGCAACAATTGCTTTCACTAATGCTTTCTTGACCTGAAATAAAAACAATATAAATAGATTATAATATATCATGTAATAACATCTGTTCCCTGGAGGTAAAGGATACCATGTCTATTTTTTAATTAAATAATTGGTACTTGTGACCGACTCGGGCTCTATGGACTGCTATCTGCCAATGTTTATAACCTGAACACTAATAATTGTTATAAGACACTGATAATTAATTCCAATATTCATATGAAATTAGACTCTCGTATAATAAGAAATATAAATATATTTGGTGTTGCCTCTTTTTTGCCTGTTTCTTATTAATATATATATATATATATATATATATATATATATATATATAAATTTTTTTTCTGTTGGATCTACAGACCATGAAGATCTTTGGCCACGAGATGTGGTCTCCTTACAGACGTTTGTTGCTTGCGGGAGCTCAGATGGCCTGGAGGGGGTCACCCAACCTCACGTTGCTACCATGGTCTCCATGGTGCAGCAGCAAGTCACACGTAGCTCCATAGCTGATCCCTTTGGGGCCAATCTGTCAGTGTCTTTCCCAGCGACTCACTTGGGTTCAAGGACAGTGACAAATCGGTCTAGAGTCATGGATTATGACTGCTCGGAGTCAGCAGGCGCACGAGGACCTATATTTCTTTCCCCGAAACAGACCGTCCATGGACCGAACCTCAGGGGGGCTACTAACATCCTGGTAGACCACATCCCGATTTCCGATTAAGTACACGGGGTAGGGTCATCAGTCCTATGCCCGGTCGGTGTGAGTTGCCTCCAGTAGGCTGACAGGTCTCACATACCCGGGGGGAGAGATTCGGGCCGCTTGGCTTTCCCTGGTGGACGGTCACCCAAATTGGGCGGTCACCCATCCAAGTACTAACCACACTCGACGTTGCTTAACTTTGATTACCTATTGCAAACGCCTTAGCCCGTACGGCTACTGCAGCACCCCTATATATATATATAAGAAATATAAATATAATAATAATATAGTAATTTAATAATAAAAAATATAAATAACCCCAATTCACTTTCCCAGGCATGTAATCTCCAATCTAATAATATAGTAATTTAATAATAACAAATATAAATAACAACAACAACAACAACACTTTTATTTTACAACATACATAAATCACTTCATAGCTTAATGCTATTTAAAATAGCGAGGAACGGGTCCTCTTCTCTGTGAGCACGCCGCCATAAAAATTCACATAAATATGAATCAAGGTGTTGCCTCGCAGTTCCTCGCTGTTTCTTATTTCTCCAGTTAGCTGAGCCCTATAAATGTTTTATATGTTGAGTATAGATGGATCAACGAAGTTATAACGGTGATTCACCTGGAAATGATTATAGTTTGCTTCATTCAGTTGTTGGGTGTTGTATCCTTGGGTGATTCCCTCTTCTATATTATTTTTAATACATTCTAATAAAGTTTCATCTGTTTCTCGATAAACTCTGCCAAACATTCATTGTTCAGGGAGAACTCTCCCTATATGATTTTTCCGTTTAGAAAAAAGACTCGTCTACTTCAACCACTTTCCCAAGCCTCCAATTTTCTTTGTTGACCTGCACAAACCTGTTTTAAAAATTTGTTCTACATTATGTTACATTTGTTCGATAGTTTCAGTTGCTCTTTGTCTCACTTTATTGTTGTCAAATTATGAGACCATCCATAAATAAATTTTAAAGCGGTTGAAAAGGTAATCTTCGACTCCTCTAACCACGTCCCTTTCCTCATCGATAACTTTTTCTTACAACTCTTACAAAAGCGTCTCTAGTACGTCTTCCCGACGAACTTCATTTCACGACCTTCATCACAATATTTCACCTTCGTAATTATCCCTGTATCTTGAAAATATTTGATGGCCTCTTCTTCTGAAGACAGCAATTCCCACAATGTAATTACATCCATTTTAATAACACACAATGAATAAACACACATACAACAGCTCAAAAAGGCAGGTTACGTGACGTAACATAACATAAGATAACATGGTGACATAACATAAGATAAGAAAGTGACGTAACATAAGATAAGAAGGGAGGTTTCGCAGAGGCGAAGTCGGTCACAAGTACCAAATAATTTAGTAACTAAAAAACAAATTTTAATAGTTCAATGTTATGGAACATTGGCTCTCCTGAACAAACATAAAATTGGACATGGTGTTCTTTACCTCATGGGACAGATATGTTGAGAATATTAAACTAAATTGAACCTTATTTAAAAGTTATGGCAGTGTCAAATTCGCAACAGCACCTCCACATCTTTTATAAAAATGAAGCCTTTATTTTTTTTATCAAATGATAGTTTAATTTCATGAAATATAAAAAATAAAGGACTCCAATAATGATCCAGAAATAGGATAGGATAAGCTTCACAAATCTCTCTCTTCTCAGTATCAAAAATTAAAAACTAAGGATTAGACATTTTGGCCAATTGGAAATTGCATCAACTATTTCTTTTGATTCTTATATTGAAAACGTTGATTTCATTGAATATTTTTGTTTTCCTTTACTTATTAAGGTTACAAGAAAACTTTAACAATGTTTCTCCGTTCTGTTTCAACTAATGCCAGGATAAAAGCTGTAATTATGACCTATATAAAAAACTGTCCATGTCAGAAAATATTAAAATTGTGATGTTACATCAAGTAAAAGAATTTTGGGAAATAGTAAAAGTATAGAGTTTCGCCAATCAATGGTAGTCATAGTTCTGAGAAAAAAAAAGAAATTTGACTGATTAATGGTGCGATTGTTTTAAGAATATTGTTTCAAAACTGTCAAAAAATATCCAGAATCTTTCAGATAGCAATCTGCTAAATAAAATAAAATTTAATAAAAATTTTACAGGGTGATGCAGTTCCTATGACTGTTTCACTTCTTGTTTCCAGTGCAAACTACGTAAAAGGCAGTGACATGGTTTCATAAGTTTTAAATTCAATAATAAGATGGTCCTTGTGTTTCTAAGATACTGGAGATTTAATAACCATTATTTTAGTAATTTTTATTAGCAATGACCTTGGTTCAAACACAGCCGACAGAGTCTCAGAATATAGTTCGAGGTTTTTGCATGATATTTTTTTCCATATGAGGATTTGATCTATTCTTGAAGATTATTTATATTTGGTATCAACTCATATATATTTTGAATACAATATTCGAAATTAAAGAAAATTGGAGTTAGACTGAGCTCAAGGCTTTTAAATTGTTTCATAGTTTATATTAATAAGAGATAAGTTTTTAAAGAAAAATATATAAATTATTTAGAAATGATTAAAAATAAACCCTTGTATAATGATTTGCAATGTTTTTAAACGGCTCTTATTCACGATTGAGAATTTTGAAACAATTTTTGCCACCTTTGGTTGTGAGTCATCGGAAGGTTGGGGAGGAGAGAGGGGAGAGGTATACCTATTTCACATTTTTTGATCTATTTGTTCCTTTAAACAAAACAAACACAACAAAATATAAAACTATACCACTAACACCACACATGAAGGGTCTTGGGTTCAGTACAATGCGAGGAAGTACTGTTACAAAGCACACTTGTGCAGGGAGGTGATTGGGGTGATTTCAAGCTCAACCGCCATGTTTTTCCCTTAATTAATTATTTAATTAAGATTACCCCCTTTAAAGAGGTTGGGTGTGCCCCAGGAGGGTCTCCCAACCCCAGGATCGGTCGGCGGCTGATGAAAAATTACTAGTCATGAGCCGAATTCCTGCCGAACCTGGGACCTTGAGCTAAGGAAGTCAGTGCCCAAACAACAAAATATAACTTTGCTTATTTAGTTCCCTAGGTACTGTTAAATAGTGTTATTCATTCTCATTTTTTACCACTTTTCTTATTCTTTTAAAAGGACCGTACTTCTAATAAAAGTTTATAAGATAATGTATGAAAGAAAGATGTAACTTACTTTAACAGAGGAATCTGACAGGAGTATATTCATAGCTGGTATTATCTCATAAAGCCGATTTTCAAGTATTTTATCACTACCAGAAATTAAGTGTGCAGTCACAATCAAGCATTCTATTTTTTCTTTCTCACTGCCAAGTTTCATTTGCTTCAAGAGAAGGTCTGTTAGCCGTTCAGTAAAATGTTTTCCTAAAATATAAATAAATAACGGAAAATTATCCGATGATCACTTTATAAAATATTATAAATATTCAAGAATATAAAATATATCACTATTTAAGCTTAAATAGGCTTAGAGCTACATTTAATTCTTCTCATGCCACTAATTTTAACTGCTCACATCCTAGACATACTTCAATATATAGAAGTTCCTTCACACTAATTTATATTCCATTCAAAACATCATACTATAAAAAATTCTTAATATTCTTTTTGAATTCACTATGCTACAAAATATTCGAACATCTATTCATAAGAGGCCAGTATTTTCAGAATTTTGGTCAGGAATCATCATCTTCTTCATATTGTCTACAGCACAAAGTCTATGGACTAAAACAACACAAAACAAAAAACATCACCTTTGGAATTTAAGAAACTTGAGGGCAGAAATGAGAACAACCATACACTCTCAAAGATGAGTACAGAATGGATAACTTAGCTGAAAAACTGATAAGGGATGACCTGGAGGTATATGATGATTCATGAAAAGTTAAAAAGCGTTCGACAAGAGATGATGACCAAGACTATTAGGTAATGATAGTTCATTAGGTATTCAAATCCATTTCAGTTTTATAAACTGAATCCATACTCCATCTCTTTACTAGAAAATGTACAAAGGTACCTGATGAAATATAAGTAACTAAATTATGATTTAGTTTTGAAACGAATCCTACCCATTATAGAAAATCCTAAAATATCCCTTCCCATCAGTTTGGTTTTCGCTCTCAACATTCTACTGTTCAACAAGGACTCCGAGTTGTTGATCATATTTCCTCAGCCCTAGAAAACAAGGAATACTGTTCGGGTGCATTTCTGGACATTGCACAGGCATTTGACCAGGTATGGCACTCCGGACTGCTCTTCAAGCTTAAAATCCATTTACCTCAGTCCTTGTACCTAGTCCTTCGATCCTACCTCTTTGACCACTCCTTTCGAGTTGTGGTGCTGTGGAACAGAATTTTCCAATATCTACTCCGTTAAAGCCGGTGTTCCCCAAGGCAGCGTCTTGGGTCCCGTGCTTTACATCCTGTTTACTGCTGACATCCCTATTCATCCCGATACTTTTCTTGCAACATTCGCTGATGACACCGTAATCTTATCATCCAACTATGATCCTGAAATAGCATCCTTAAATCTCCAAAGCCATCTCACCTTGATTGAGCACAGGTGTAATAACTGGCGCATTAAAGTTAATGAATCTAAACGCCAACATATTACCTTTACACTCCGACGCAATTCCTGTCCACCAGTACTCTTTAATTCCATCCATCTTCCTTACTCAGACACAGTCCGGTATCTTGGCTTTCATTTAGACCGAAGACTAATGTGGAACCCGCATACTAGAGATGGGCAGTACTCGATTACTTTCATGATTTGAGTAATTTTATTAGGAAAAAGTATCGAGTAGTTTCTGTACTGGGCCTGACATCGGCGAGTACTGAGAGTACTCACACTGCGTCAATCATGATTTAGTTAAGTACAGAAAATACTCGTGCTGTTATATCGAATTACAGAAAGTACTCAGCCCAATTCCTACAAAGAGTACTTTTTATTTTTCAACTACTCCATCATTATTATAAAGAGTATAAATGTTTTCTTTTATTTCCTTCGATAATAGCGACCATATTCAACCTGACCAATTCTAACTCCGATTTAATCGATACCAGGGCCAACTATTATGTTTTGGGAGGCGCTTTTTATGAAAATGTTATCTTATTTGAAAATGGGACCCCCAGGCCGCGACTTTTTTTAACTTTTTGGATTAAATCGATATCAGGGTCGACCATTATGTTTTGGGGGGCGCTTTTTATGAAAATGATATCGAATTTCAGATTGGGCCCCCCGGGCCTCGAATTTTCATAACTTTTCCGATATAATCGATACCAGGGCCGACTAGTATGTTTTGGGAGGCGCTTTTTATGAAAATGATATCGAATTTCAGATTAGGACCCCCCCCCCCCGACCCCAACTTTTTTTAACTTTTTAGATTAAATCGATATCAGGATCGACTATTATGTTTTGGGGGGCGCTTTTTATGAAAATGATATAGAATTTCAGTTTGGGCTCCCCGGGCCCCGACTTTTTTTAACTTTTTGGATTAAATCGATATCAGGGTCGACTCTTATGTTTTGGCGAGCGCTTTTTATGAAAATGATATCGAATTCGGGATTGGGCCCCCCGAGCCTCGACGTTTTTTAACTTTTTGGATTAAATCGATATCAGGGTCGACTCTAATGTTTAGGAGGGCGCTTTTTATGAAAATGGTATAGAATTTCAGATTTGGCCCCCCGGATCCCGACTTTTTTTAACTTTTTGGATTAAATCTATATCAGGGTTGACTCTTATGTTTTGGGGAGCGCTTTTTATGAAAATGATATTGAATTTGAGATTAGGACCCCTCCCCCCGGCCCCAACTTTTTTTAAGTTTTTGGATTAAATCGATATCATGGTCGACTATTATGTTTTGGGGGCGCTTTTTATGAAAATGATATCGAATTCGGGATTGGGCCCCCGGGGCCCGACTTCTTGTAACATTTTAGATTTGATCGATACTAGGGTCAATTATTAGGTTTTGGGGAGCTCTTTTCATGAAAATGGTGTCGGATTTTAGATAGTGCCCCCGGGCACCGACTTTTAGTAACTTTTCTGATTTAATAGATATCAGGGTCAACAATTAAGTTTTGGAAGACGCTTTTTATGAAAATACTGTCAGATTTGAGATTGTACCCTGTGGATTCACTTTTTGGAATTAGTCGATATCAGGCCAGTCTATTATGTTTTAGGGGGCGCATTTTATAAAAAAAAATCTGACACAAGTTTCATAAAAAGTGTCGCCCAAAATCTTATAAACAGCATTGATATCGATTAAATCCAAAAGGTTACAAAAAGTCGGGCCCCAGGGGGCCCAATCTGAAATTCTATATCATTTTCATAAAAAGCGCCCCCCAAATCATAATAGTCGACCCTGATATCGATTTAATCTTAAAAGTTAAAAAAAGTTGGGGTCGGGGGGAGGGGAAGGGGGTCCTAATCTCAAATTCGATATCATTTTCATAAAAAGCGCTCTCCAAAACATAAGAGTCGATCCTGATATCGATTTAATCCAAAACGTTAAAGAAAGTCGGGGTCCGGGGGGCCCAATCTGAAATTCTATATCATTTTCATAAAAAGTGCCCCCCAAAACATAATAGTCGACCCTGATATCGATTTAATCCAAAAAGTTAAAAAACGTCGGGGCCCGGGGGCCCCAATCTCAAATTCGACATCATTTTCATAAAAAGCGCCCCCCAAAACATAATAGTCGACCCTGATATCGATTTTATCCAAAAAGTTAAAAAAAGTCAGGGACCGGGGGGCCCAATCTCAAATTCGATATCATTTTCATAAAAAGCGCCCCCCAAAACCTAATAATCGACCCTGATATCGATTTAATCCAAAAAGTTAAAAAACGTCGGGGCCCGGGGGCCCCAATCTCAAATTCGACATCATTTTCATAAAAAGCGCCCCCCAAAACATAATAGTCGACCCTGATATCGATTTTATCCAAAAAGTTAAAAAAAGTCAGGGACCGGGGGGCCCAATCTCAAATTCGATATCATTTTCATAAAAAGCGCCCCCCAAAACCTAATAATCGACCCTGATATCGATTTAATCCAAAAAGTTAAAAAACGTCGGGGCCTGGAGGCCCCAATCTCAAATCCGACATCATTTCCATAAAAAGCGCCCCCCAAAACCTAATAGTCGACCCTGATATCGATTTAATCCAAAAACTAAATAAAAGTCGGGGCCCGGGGGCTCCAATCCCGAATTCGATATCATTTTCATAAAAAGCGCTCTCCAAAACATAAGAGTCGATCCTGATATCAATTTAATCCAAAACGTTAAAGAAAGTCGGGGTCCGGGGGGCCCAATCTCAAATTCGATATCATTTTCATAAAAAGCGCTCTCCAAAACATAAGAGTCGATCCTGATATCGATTTAATCCAAAACGTTAAAGAAAGTCGGGGTCCGGGGGGCCCAATCTGAAATTCTATATCATTTTCATAAAAAGCGCCCCCCAAAACATAATAGTCGACCCTGATATCGATTTAATCCAAAAAGTTAAAAAAGTCGGGGCCCGGGGGCCCCAATCTCAAATTCGACATCATTTTCATAAAAAGCGCCCCCCAAAACATAATAGTCGACCCTGATATCGATTTTATCCAAAAGGTTAAAAAAAGTCAGGGACCGGGGGGCCCAATCTCAAATTCGATATCATTTTCATAAAAAGCGCCCCCCAAAACCTAATAATCGACCCTGATATCGATTTAATCCAAAAAGTTAAAAAACGTCGGGGCCCGGGGGCCCCAATCTCAAATTCGACATCATTTTCATAAAAAGCGCCCCCCAAAACATAATAGTCGACCCTGATATCGATTTTATCCAAAAAGTTAAAAAAAGTCAGGGACCGGGGGGCCCAATCTCAAATTCGATATCATTTTCATAAAAAGCGCCCCCCAAAACCTAATAATCGACCCTGATATCGATTTAATCCAAAAAGTTAAAAAACGTCGGGGCCTGGAGGCCCCAATCTCAAATCCGACATCATTTCCATAAAAAGCGCCCCCCAAAACCTAATAGTCGACCCTGATATCGATTTAATCCAAAAACTAAATAAAAGTCGGGGCCCGGGGGCTCCAATCCCGAATTCGATATCATTTTCATAAAAAGCGCTCTCCAAAACATAAGAGTCGATCCTGATATCAATTTAATCCAAAACGTTAAAGAAAGTCGGGGTCCGGGGGGCCCAATCTCAAATTCGATATCATTTTCATAAAAAGCGCTCTCCAAAACATAAGAGTCGATCCTGATATCGATTTAATCCAAAACGTTAAAGAAAGTCGGGGTCTGGGGGGCCCAATCTGAAATTCTATATCATTTTCATAAAAAGCGCCCCCCAAAACATAATAGTCGACCCTGATATCGATTTAATCCAAAAAGTTAAAAAACGTCGGGGCCCGGGGGCCCCAATCTCAAATTCGACATCATTTTCATAAAAAGCGCCCCCCAAAACATAATAGTCGACCCTGATATCGATTTAATCCAAAAAGTTAAAAAAAGTCAGGGCCCGGGGGGCCCAATCTCAAATTCGATATCATTTTCATAAAAAGCGCCCCCCAAAATCTAATAATCGACCCTGATATCGATTTAATCCAAAAAGTTAAAAAACGTCGGGGCCCGGGGGCCCCAATCTCAAATTCGACATCATTTTCATAAAAAGCGCCCCCCAAAACATAATAGTCGACCCTGATATCGATTTTATCCAAAAAGTTAAAAAAAGTCAGGGACCGGGGGCCCAATCTCAAATTCGATATCATTTTCATAAAAAGCGCCCCCCAAAACCTAATAATCGACCCTGATATCGATTTAATCCAAAAAGTTAAAAAAAGTCAGGGACCGGGGGGCCCAATCTCAAATTCGATATCATTTTCATAAAAAGCGCCCCCCAAAACCTAATAATCGACCCTGATATCGATTTAATCCAAAAAGTTAAAAAACGTCGGGGCCCGGGGGCTCCAATCCCGAATTCGATATCATTTTCATAAAAAGCGCTCTCCAAAACATAAGAGTCGATCCTGATATCAATTTAATCCAAAACGTTAAAGAAAGTCGTGGTCTGGGGGGCCCAATCTGAAATTCTATATCATTTTCATAAAAAGCGCCCCCCAAAACATAATAATCGACCCTGATATCGATTTAATCCAAAAAGTTAAAAAACGTTGGGGCCCGGGGGCCCCAATCTCAAATTCGACATCATTTTCATAAAAAGCGCCCCCCAAAACATAATAGTCGACCCTGATATCGATTTAATCCAAAAAGTTAAAAAACGTTGGGGCCCGGGGGCCCTAATCTCAAATTCGACATCATTTTCATAAAAAGCGCCCCCCAAAACCTAATAGTCGACCCTGATATCGATTTAATCCAAAAAGTTAAGAAAAGTCGGGACCCGGGGGCCCCAATCTCAAATTCGACATCATTTTCATAAAAAGCGCCCCCCAAAACATAATAGTCGACCCTGATATCGATTTAATCCAAAAAGTTAAAAAAAGTCAGGGACCGGGGGGCCCAATCTCAAATTCGATATCATTTTCATAAGAAGCGCCCCCCAAAACCTAGTAGTCGACCCTGATATCGATTTAATCTAAAAAGTTAAAAAACGTCGGGGCCCGGGGGCCCCAATCTCAAATCCGACATCATTTCCATAAAAAGCGCCCCCCAAAACCTAATAGTCGACCCTGATATCGATTTAATCCAAAAACTAAATAAAAGTCAGGGCCCGGGGGCTCCAATCCCGAATTTGATATCATTTTCATAAAAAGCGCCCCCCAAAACCTAATAATCGACCCTGATATCGATTTAATCCAAAAAGTTAAAAAACGTCGGGGCCCGGGGGCTCCAATCCCGAATTCGATATCATTTTCATAAAAAGCGCTCTCCAAAACATAAGAGTCGATCCTGATATCAATTTAATCCAAAACGTTAAAGAAAGTCGTGGTCTGGGGGCCCAATCTGAAATTCTATATCATTTTCATAAAAAGCGCCCCCCAAAACATAATAATCGACCCTGATATCGATTTAATCCAAAAAGTTAAAAAACGTTGGGGCCCGGGGGCCCAATCTCAAATTCGACATCATTTTCATAAAAAGCGCCCCCCAAAACATAATAGTCGACCCTGATATCGATTTAATCCAAAAAGTTAAAAAACGTTGGGGCCCGGGGGCCCTAATCTCAAATTCGACATCATTTTCATAAAAAGCGCCCCCCAAAACCTAATAGTCGACCCTGATATAGATTTAATCCAAAAAGTTAAGAAAAGTCGGGACCCGGGGGCCCCAATCTCAAATCCGACATCATTTTCATAAAAAGCGCCCCCCAAAACATAATAGTCGACCCTGATATCGATTTTATCCAAAAAGTTAAAAAAAGTCAGGGACCGGGGGGCCCAATCTCAAATTCGATATCATTTTCATAAGAAGCGCCCCCCAAAACCTAGTAGTCGACCCTGATATCGATTTAATCTAAAAAGTTAAAAAACGTCGGGGCCCGGGGGCCCCAATCTCAAATCCGACATCATTTCCATAAAAAGCGCCCCCCAAAACCTAATAGTCGACCCTGATATCGATTTAATCCAAAAACTAAATAAAAGTCGGGGCCCGGGGGCTCCAATCCCGAATTTGATATCATTTTCATAAAAAGCGCTCCCCAAAACCTAATAATTGACCCCGATGTCGATATAATCTGAAAAGTTACAAAAAGTCGGGCCCCGGGGGCACTATCTCAAATCCGACAGCATTATCATAAAAGTCAAGTGGTGTAGAAAAAAAAAATGGTCCCCAAAGTTGATTAAATCTAAAATATTTTAATAATTCTTTATTTTATCGATTTACATTAATATCGATATTATTTTTAAAAACTATACCTCCATAAGATAACAATGGATTTAAATATGGAAGAAATATTAAATATTCTACTCCTGTAATTTTTATAATGAATTACTCGATTACTTTGTAAAGTACTCCGAGTAAAATATTGCTGAGTAGATTTGAAAATAGAAAGTACTCACGAGGACAGCTGATTACTTTTTGTACTCGTCAATCATGAGGTCGAGTAGTGATTGAAGTACTCGATACTCGAACCGGGCGAGTATTTGAGTAAATTACTCTGTAATTGCACTTTTTACTCAGAGTACAATTTTGCCCATCTCTACCGCATACTAGACTCAAAAGACAAGAACTCAACCGACGATACGGCCAACTATACCGACTACTAAGCAGAAAATCTAAGCTTTCCATTGAAAACAAGCTACTGATCTACAAGACAATACTGAAACCTATTTGGACTTACGGACTAGAACTGTGGGGATCAGCAAAATTTTCTAACATCAAGCGCATCCAATCCTTCCAATGAAAAGTCCTTCGAACAATAGTAGATGCTCCTTTCTATGTAACCAACAAAACCCTACATCATGATTTCAACATCCCATTTGTCCTAGACCTTATCCCAGAAAAATTCTCCAAATTTCACCACAACCTTATGTACCACCCAAATCCTCTTGCACAATCCCTATCAAGCACCTCCCATCCCTATAATCCTCCAAGAAGGTTGAAACGGCAGTGGCCTTGCGACCTTTTGTAGATTTTATAAATTGGAGTTCTGGCAATGGCCAGATTCTTCACTCAAGACATGAGTGTATGTAGCTAAAGTGCCTTCGACCAATCTCCACTGGCTTTAGTACTAGTGAAGCGGTTGGGAGAGTAGCGCAGGGTTCTCCTGGAGTTCCCTCGCCTGATTGTATATAGGTATGCATGTGTTTTTTTTTTTCTTAGTTTTAATTTTCTTATTTTTTAGGTTATTTAATTTTATTATCTATTGTATATACTTTTGATTATTATTTTGTTCTATTTATTTATTTTTTTTTGTACATATAGTGTGAATGTCATCCTAGCTCATTATAACCAATGTCCAAGAGACAGATTGTTATAATACTCAATAAAGAAATTAAAAAAAATAAAATAAAATTATGATATTGAACAAATGAAAAGTATTTGAATATTCTATATAATATTTTTGATTTATATTCATAATAAATGTGATGGAATAACAAGAAAAATAGTTATTAAAAATGCCAATTTAGTTTCGAAATATAATAGCTAAATAAATTTAAATGTAAACTAGAAAAATTAAACTGTAATTAAATGACATACCTATATGATCATAACAGCGAAGCACCTCACTATGTTGTTTTACAGTGTGGGGAAGCGAATAGTCAGGTGGTACTATTACCTGAAAATTGTCACATTTATTTTAATAAAATTACATAAACTTTCAAATCTGAAAATTTTTACCTTAAAGGTTAAGAAATAATCAAGAAAGAGTAGTTTATCAGAAAGTAATGACAGTTATTTTTCAGACTACGAAAGTTAATCAAATATAAATGGTAACTATTTTTAGTTTATTTATTGATTTATGTTATATACAAACCATATAATAAACAAACTTTTTCTACCAATTTGGAAGGCTATGGTATTTCTTATTAATAAAAAGTTTGAGAGTGAGTTTCCAGCCAAGTGCACACATGAAGTTAAATTAGCTTTATCCTTCTCCCAGACTGCAATATTTCCTTGATTCTTAATTTTTACAAACCATAAAAACAATAAACCTTCCTATATCTCTGAACTCCTTACCCTACATTCCTTTAACACTAAAACCCAGCCAATTGATACTTGTACTCCCTTGCACATAATTGTTTCCTTAGATAAATCTTTTCTTGTTCGTTCCTTAATTCCTCATCTATCTAATCCACAAAACCTCGTCCCTTTCTTCCTTTAAATATCAACTATTTCTTCACCTTTTTTTGATATCGACCCTCTGATCAAACGTAAAGTTAAACTGATTATTCAACACAAGACTAAGCAATAGCTAGACCATAAGCACTCATTTATGTTCACTGTTTATTTATTTTTAGGAGACTATTGCCCAGAATAAAGATAATTTTTCAATTTTCTCAGCTCCTTCATTACTTTCAAATTGTTCCCCTCCAATTGATTCTTTGGTACTTGTTTAATAGCGGGTAGCGTCAAAACCTACCTTGTTCTCTAATCTTATTTCACATAACCTCCCTTATCTCCTCTAACCTAAGTTATTCCCTTGTTTATTTTTTGTTCCTTGAGTAAGCTGTGATTTAGTCTTCTTTAATTATGGATGTTGTCACATTGTGGGAATTGACATCTTCAGAAAAAGAGGCTGTCAAATATTTGCAAGACGCCAGGATATTTGCAAAGATGAAATATTGTGATGAAGGTCAACAAATAAAGTTCGACGGGAAGATTAAATGGAGATGCTTTCGTAGTTGTAACAAAACTGTTTATATAAGGAAAGGAACGTGGTTAGAGAGGTTCAGGATTTCTTTTTTAATGGCTTTAAAATTCATTTATAGATGGTCTCATAATTTAACAACAATACAGTGGTGGAAAGAGCAGCTCAAACTATCCCAGGCAACTATCGTAACGTGGAACAAATTTTCTAGAGAGGTTTGTGCCCATAACATGTTATACAGGCCAAGTAAAAAAATTGGAGGGCCTGGCAAAGTTGTAAATTGCCTATTTTTATTATTTAATTTATTTTTATATATATGTCACAATGTTTTCATAATGTTTTTAATTATAAGTATAATGTTTTGGTCTATTTAATATATATCTTGTAAAATAAAAGTATTTTTTTATTATTACATTTGTTTTTGTTCACAATTTCAATAATATCAACACAATACAATAAATATGAATAGGAAGATATAATAATATGAAAATAATACAATAAATATGAATACAAAGATATTATCAGTGGCTTATCAGAGTTATCAGTGTTAAGGTTATAAACATTGGCAGATAGCAGTCGGATGAAACCCGCTATTAAACAAGTACTGATTCTTTCTAGGGCAAGTATGGATTACAAGAGGAGTACTCTCGAAAACTCTTGAGCTTCCCACTCTATTTTCCCAATTTATACAAGTTAAGATCCGGGTATGGTATTGCCTTAGAGAAGAAAAATACTTCTATGTATTTTATTTCAATAGTCATTATTTTTCTTTGTTCATGATAATAACTGGCAATAATAGACCACATTCATTGTTCGTTCATTATAAAGAAAATCAACAAGTAAAACTCTCCTTTACTAAAAAATAAATTGTTGTAAGAATGGCAGAAAGTAATGATGGGCATTGATAGTCGATATTATTGAAATATCAATATTTTCCTTCCGATATTCGATATTTTACCATTGATAGTTTCTACTTCGATATATTAATTTAAAAATTATACTTGTCTTGCCTGTTTCAAATAAATGTAGTGCATAGTAGAGGAAGGTATCGATATTTCAATAATATTGATTATCAATGCCCATCCCTAAGTAGAGTTGAATATCGTGTGTGAGACCCTTCTCATTCAGGAAACTCAATTTGCCTTAATTTGTTAGATAGAACCTTCTCAAACTAAGGCCACGAATTGTCAAAGAGATCTATGTAGGATGCAAATAAATCAGCATTTAGCTGAATCTGATTTCTGGATGAATGGATGGCATAATTGGTTAAATGGAAATTCCTGGAAAAAACTAAGGATGATGAAGATGTACAGGAACTAGAAAATTAATTTTACTAAGCAGAGTAGAAGAATTGATATTAATTTACATAGGAAAATAACATATTTTTTGATGCCCCTATGTGCTAGGAGAATCAATATTTATATTGATATTCATATTTCAAAAATGATTATAATATTGATAAAAATATCAACTATTAATACTTTAAGTCTGATATTTTGATGGTATCAATAGTTATAGGCTGATATTAATATTGATGGCAATACCGATATTGGGCTTTCGAAATCCCATCTCTAGCTGAGAGACGAGTTTTCTCTTCACTAAGAAACCTTCATCCTTCTTTTGCCACTCTTTACTTTCCATTTTTAACTCAATAATGGATTCGCCAACCATCAGGTTGTACACCTTTGAAAGAAACATTTGAAGAATTGATTCAAAAGCAATGTAAAAATCATGAAGGACTTATGCAATAGGAAAGCAATTCAACCCCTAACTTTTAATGAATAAAGAATATCCAAGCTTTCAGAATCAATGATAAAAATATGTAAATCACGTACACTAAAAAATACTTAAAGTGAATAATGAAAAAAACAAAAGTTTACCATATTTCCAAGGCTGTGCAAAACTTGATCAAGAACTGGTATGATGGCTGAAGGGGGAGCAGTGCTGAGAACAGTGGCAAGGCAGGAGGTTATTAAATGGTGCTGTATGCAAGGCCGGCGATACGCATTGAGGAGGCAGGTCACAGCACGCGATGTCGCGAGAGCTGCCTTCTCTTCAGGCAAAAGGTTGAACAGAGGACCAAGGCAGCATATTGCACTTTCTGTCACCTATAACCATACAATTAAGGAATTAATTCATTAATATAATTTACATATATTTTTAAAATCTCATTTTAAATATAGATATTTACAGTGAAAATTCTCATTGTGGACTTTTCTCTGTAGTGGAAAATTTAATAATCTCCATCTGATTTACAGTATAAATGATTTCTGCATAACAATTGTTCTCTATAACAGAAACGGACTGACTATATAAAAGGATTTTTATTTAAAAGTTTCTCCATAACAGACAGCAGAGAGCCAATGGGGCTCATATGCTCAGAACATTAATCTAATTTATAGTAGCTTAGTTCAATTATGCATACTGGCAATGTTGAGTTATAATTATTTTTATTAATTTCGAGTTTCCACTAATAGTGAGTTTTCTTAATCTAAAGTGCTTGGATGGCTTCTTTCCATAATGTCCTATCTAAGGTCCTTTCACTTATAATTTTAATCTGCTAATTATTATTTTTTTTTTATCATGTTCTACTTCCAATTTTTCTAAAGCAGATATCTCGCTGTAGCAGACGATTTTTCATTTGTCCGCTACTGAGAAGTTTCACTGTAAAAAAAAATATGGTTCTACAATTAAGACTTTATTCTTACCTTGACTTCTTTAGCTTGAACCCATGAATTGGCAATGACATTGTAGGCAGAAATTATTTCTTCTGAGAACGTCTGCGCAGTTACAGCGGGATCCCTTTCAGCTTCAGATATTGAAAGATACTCTTCCAAGGATTCACAAAACTTCCCAATAACTAAAAATGATTACACAAACTAATACCATTAAGTGAATAGTGAATAAAATATTAATTTGTAACAATTATATCTAAATGAAATATCAAAAATCTGATGCAGTGCTTGCATCATTAACTTACCAATCTACTTTGAGTAGAAATACATATTTGAATCTATCAAACCTGTTGGTCAGTCATTGAGGATATTGTGGGCTGAGGTATTTGAATTTTTCTACTCTCGGGAATGATTTTCCTTCTATGCAGATCGTGTTATTGGGATGGAATTTTAGGCTTATTACATATTTTGTTTTGTCTTCATTTACTTATAGGTTGATCTGGTGTGCCTCTCTTATCAGTGTTGAAGTGAGTTTCTCAATGTCTTCTTGATTACTTCCAAGAACAGCTATATCATCTGCATATCCAAGGATTTTATGATTCATTCCAACGTGAGACCCTCTCCCCCATTTTCTTGTGATGTTGCTCTTATTACCTTCACCAGTGCTAAGTTGAACAATATCGGTGATAATCCATCTCCTTGTATTAGGACTCTTATTTGGGGTCATTTGTACATGCCTTTATCAATCTCACCAACTTGCCGGGAATTTCCAGTTCAGTCATGATTTTTCAAAGACAGCTCCTTTCCACAGAATCTTTGAAATTGATAAATAGGATGTGGAAGTCCTGAGCTACTTCCCATCATTTTTCGAGTACTTGTTTTAGGATGAAGATCTGCTCTAGCGTGCTCATTTTTCTGAATCCAGCTAGGTGGTCGCCTATTATATTCTCATAATACGAATATATCTGATTTAGTAGGATATTGGTCATTATCTTGTAGACAACCGGAAGGAGTGCTATGCCTCTGTAATTACTTCACTCATACATGAAGTCTTTCTTGAGGATAGGACAGATTAGGCCCATTTTCCAGGCCTCATGTATCCTTTCCTCTCCCCATATTTTCTGGATTAGTTGTAGTAGCTTGGCTCTTAAGTCGTCACCTCTATCTTTATTTTAAATTACTATATCATAATGTTTTATTAATTTATTATTGAAATGTTACAAATTGCTTAGACTTTAAATTAAGATTATTTTGAAAAAGCTATATTATATTTTATTAAAAACTAGCTTTACCCGGCCACGCGCTGCTGTGGCTTAGCCTGGCAAAATGAAAAAGAAAGAAAATAGAAAGCACATATGAGTAGATTAGTAGCAAAGGACATCTGTCATTTTTAAAAAGTTGGGAAACAAATTTGTCTGTAAAATGGCTTCAATTGAAACTAATTCTAATTTTTTTTTTCTCATGATTCAAATTGAACATTCATAATCATCTGAGTTGAACTTATAAAACTAAATTAAAAAAACGTATAATAGTATTGACCTACAGTAATTATAAAATTTTCGATTAATCAATAAAAAAAATAAAAAAATAAATGCTTGCCGACGTTCGGTAGTGAGGAAGCAAAAGGAAACGGCCTTTTCTGAAGAGAAAGCAGTAAATGTTTAAAACTCAATAACTCTGCAACGAACCATCCGATTTCGATGATTTTTTTTTATTTTGTCGGCAAATCAGGAATCTTTCAAATAAATGTGGGTATTATCAGTCAAAAATGTGTACTTTTTTAGTTATCGTCAAATAAAATATTGAATGCATCATAACATTTTTCAGCTTGTTTTCGGGAAAGTATGTTATACACATAAATTAAAAGGGTTTCAAGGGAAAGACTTTAGCCAAGTTTCGTTAAAATCGGTAAAGCCGTTTTGGCACTATAGTTTATAGCGACACATTTTTTGCGGCTTGGAACAGAAAAACATTTACATTTTTATTTTTTTTACATATATAAAATTATCGTAAGACAGAAGTACTATGCCAGAAACCTTCCCAGGAGTGTACGGAACAACTTCCCAAAGTTTCATGGCGATCGGTTGAATGGTTTAGTAATGCACTAAGGACAAACAGACGGACAGACAGACATACATTCATTTATAAATATATAGATATTAGTAATAAGTAATAAATTAGAATACGTTTAAATACTTTTTTTCTATTATATCACACCACTGTAAAAAAATGCAGAATTTGAGAAAAAAAAACATTTAAAAATAATATTAATTTTATTTTTAAATAGAATAAAGTTGACAGACAGAACACAAAGTGTCAGATTTGAAGCAACTGTTCAATATAGACAAATTCGAAGGTAGTAAATGCATTTTTCATTTAATGTATTTTTTGTTTTTTGTATATGATTTGTCATTTTAATATTGATATCAGCTTTGATTATATTCTGCTTATTTAGTCTTTTTCATATGTTCTTTACCTTTCTTGTGTCAGGGAAATATTTTATTTCAGGGGTTTTATTTTATTTACAGAACAAATTATTTTTGTATTCGTACTTTAAACTTATAGTTTAACATATTAGGTGATATTTGAACAAATGATAGTTCAATTGTTTTTTCCTATGTTCATAATAATTTTATTTAATAATTTAACATTTGCCTTGCAGTTATTTAGAGATTGGAGTAAGAAAGTTAATTCCATCTGCAGTCACTGGGACATAGTGTTACATCCTAAAGTTGCCTGTTAATCTGTATACATTATACTAACAAAGTTTAACATCTAGCAATAAAATTTAGTCTCATCTGTAAACCCTAATGTTAATCATATTGTGCATTGATAGACCATTCATATAACCTTGTGATTATATTAAGAGAGCAAATCAATACAGAATAAAGGTGAAAATAGTAATCATGTATTAACAAACCTAAATTTTACTTTAATATTTGAGTTTCTAGAGATTTTCTATACTTAAATAATTACCAAATGCTAAAGCAATACGCAGCTGTTCATTCCTCGTTGAAGGCATCATTGGTATCATGATATTAAAAGCTACCTTGATTATTGGCACACATTGAGATACATTAGCACAAGACAGGTGACCCAAGGTCATCAAGAGGTGTGGATTTGGGTCGCAGCCGGGCTGTATCTTGGGAATAAGTGCACTTAGGACCTAAAGTGAATAAATTTATAAGAAAACAAAAACTGACAGCACTTAAAGTTTTATAATAAATTTACAGCCAAATTAATAATAATTAACTACATTTAAAAATGTTATTTATTCAAATGGGGCAACTCCTGTCCCCCTAATAGCGGACAAATTGCCATTTTACTAATTATTCAACTGTTCATTTAATTGTACTACTCTTTGCTCAAATTGTATAACTGTAATTTACATGTATTCTGTGGTTTAGATTGTTTTATTTTTTATCAACATAAAATAAATGGAACAAAATCACAGTTTGGACAAATTTTTAATTTAATTAAAAATCTATATATAATATAGGTATAAGGTATACCTTATTGCCAATTTATAATATTATATAATTATTCTTATTGCCAATCTTTGATCTTAATATATATACAATTTTTTGTCCAGCTTCATGTAAGCCCAACATCAATTTGAGCCTTAATCTATAATTTTTCATTGTACATTATATTGTGCTCTCTTTTCTATTTCATAATGGTTGAAATGTCAAGATAAAAAAAAAACTGCTGTCACCTAGGTGAAGTAAAACTACCACCTTCAGATGAATATCCGACTGAAATTAATAATTAATATTTAATTATTAAATGTGTTGCTTTTATGCTAGAGCTTGCAATAATGTAGTAAAATGATATTTTACTTGTAAAATAAAATATCATGGTCACTAAAACGTTTTTATATAATAGAGAGAAATTAAAATATTTTTTTAATAATTAATTTTTTTTTTACGTTAACGTTAGCTCATAGTTGACATATACTACAACTATATGACAAACATTTTGTGATAAGACAACCTAATCATTTTGGTTTTCCTCACTATGACCAGTCAAAATATACTCCCTATACATCCTGTAATTCAACCTTGTTAGAATAAGAAGTATTAATAATTAACAAATATCAGATCAAAATTTGCTCTATAGATATCAGATACAGAGTAAAAACCGAGAAAAAAAATTAAGGTGGTAATGGACTGGACTCATTCATATTGAGGGGCATTAGATAACAGCAACTGAATTAGTTGTGAGAATCCTGAGGTTTGCGTTCCCTACCTAGAATCAGAATCTCTGCCTCAGATAAACTAGAGACTGGATCTTCGTGCAGTAAAATGGCGAAAAACGTGCATCAAAAAACTCAAAATGAGCAAAATCGTGCAGTAAAAACCCAAAATATGTAAAATTGTCTAATTTACACATAAAAACGTGTAAATATCTATTTTATTTAAAATATTAATACATCGAAATCTTATCAAACCTTTAAAATCTGTTCAAACCTGTTAAGCTAGTGAATTAAAATATCGCATCACAAAAAAAAAATAATTCAGTCGTTATATTTTTTTTTTAAGCGTAACCTGTATTTTTTTCTATTACGGAGTAAAATTTTTGAGATGTATTTTTTCCTATTCCACAATTGATTTTTAAAAGATTTTCTTCTACATTTTCTAAAATTCCAATTGCTATATTAAGTGACAAATCCAGCTGAGTTAATATTTGTGGAAAATTTTTTATATGTGATTTTATGAATGTCAAATCGGATATTATTGATGCCGAATTCATGATATTCTATAATTCACTTCAAATCCGGAAGGAATACTGAAGGACTAAAAGAAAGAGTGAGAATACAAGTCAAAATAAGGAAGGCAGTTTTTTTTATTGAATTACTTCAGGAAAGTTCTTTTCTGCGAATAATCTGTTTGCACCTGTGTTTACTTCGTCCTTTTGTAACTTTAAATTCTAATCTTTGCCAGTCGCAGAATTATTTACCTTCTCCATATTTTTCTTTCTTAAATTGTAAATTCCTCATACCAGACTGAAACGACAAGAAACCGCTTGACGTTTCCGATTACTTCAACACTTACTAGACAAATGCTTTAAACTTCCAATTAATTACAAAGGACTCATATACATAACTATAATAAGGCCTATTTGGACTTAGGGAGTTGAGCTATGAGGCTCCACTAAACAATCGAATTCCTCTCATATAAAATCATTACAATCCAAAATCCTTCGTAAAATCCTCAATGCTCCCTACTTTGTTACAAATAAAACCATCTATAATGACCTTAATGTTTCTTATGTTTCAGATCTGGTCCAATCCATATACCTATCCTTCCATAATAAACTTCAGAATCATCCCAACCCTCTTGTTTCTAACCTTGCTTCCTCTTCAATTCCTGATAACCCTCCAAGGCATCTGAAAAGAAGATGGCCCTGTGATCTCCTAATGTAGACATATCATTAGAGTGCTACCGTTGGATAGTTACTCAACAAGTGTTTTCACGTTATTTTATCCAAATGTTCAAATTTACTAAATGCATTTCTTTAATACAGTTGTAAATATCATTAAGAAATAATTAAAAAAAAAAAAATTGTAAATTTAATATGGACAAGATAATACAATAAAAAAGGAAATATTTACACACGCATATATATTTTTATTCATACATCATTTAATTTACCACAAAATATACAACAATGTGCAATTTAATGCAGCAAAAATCAAAATCGTGCAATTTAAGCCAAAAATGGCAAAACTTGTAATTTTGTGCAAAATAAAATTTAAATGTGTTATTCTACAGATCCTGAAATGGATAGATACTCGGATCCAGAGTTTTTACACGAAAACAAAAAAAAATGTGCATAACATGGGAATCCGGTCTCGAATGATGACCAATGGCTCTGCTTAAAGATGCCAAATTTTACAGGACTGTGTCTCATGAGGTGGTGTAATTCTTAGCAAGGTTATTGAGAGAGAAGGTCTGAAGGATCCAAAGGAAATACCTTCCATTGAAAATCGATCATTCCAGAAGCTGGAAGAGGAAACTCAGAGAGAATAAAATAGGAGAATAGAACCGGCAATGGTTGATGACTCTAAAAGGGGCTGCGATGAGAAATTACTTTCCCACTGTCAGGTAAAGACTGTTAGACTCACTGATTCTCATAGGCATAGGGTTTCCGAATAAATCTCGATAAGCGTGGTTTAAATTAAATAATTAATCCCCTGCACCTAAGTTGTGGGTGCTGGAGCCTGCTGAGCACGATCTTTCTTTATTAATGACCAAGGAGAAGTACTCTTAACTTCAAGAACTTTACACATGAATGAAGAGAAATCTGATGCATTTCTCTCTGTGAAATAAAGGAGCTGCAACTGGGAGACCACAGGAATGAGGAAAGGCAACAGAAAAAAATGGCTTATCTTGATGAAATAAGAAAAAAGTAAACTGTGTTCATAGTTAATGATAAAATAAGTGAACTGTGTAATATCATATATAAATTCCACAGGAATAACATCCTACTGCTGTAAACACTTATATGGATTAAAAGGCAGTGCAGAATTTGTAAATAAATAAATAAGAATATTTATCAAAAAAGAAGCACTTTCCATAATTGATATTTTATTGGTTTGGATAGAGGGGCATATGGGTGTGAATAGTTCTTTCAACAACTTATATATTTCAGCTCTGTAAAAGCCCTTTAATAACGCAGGTGGTTTACTGTATTATACCTAGATCTACTATCACAAAACAATTTTTGAATAGAAAACAAAACAATAATTATGATACACTTGGAAGATTTGATATTACACTTATATTTTGTTGAAAAAGGAAAAAAAAAATCTTTATAGGAGTACCTCTCGACAGTGATTAGTTCCAATTGCTATTAAAATACTGCTAAGCACACCTTGGGTCATCTGGGAATTTTCAGTCTTTAACATTTCTTCAACACTAAAGTCTATTAACTTAGAAACCATTTCTTCACTCAATTTGTTTTTGTTGTCTTGGGCGACAGATTCCAATACATTCAGTAATACCATATTGTGGTTAGGAGAAAGCTAGAAATAATTACATATTTATTCAATGCTGACAATTTTTCTTTCAATATTAATATTAAGTTAGTTATTCAGAGTAAAACTTTGTTATACCAGGAAACAAATATCATTAATGTATAATTAGTTAATATATTATGAATGGAAAAAAAAAGAAGAAAATAACTTGAATCCAATAAAACATTTTTATTTATAATACTTAAATCAAAATTCATGAATTAAATTACTAATCAATTACAGGTTTTTGGTCTGCTGTAACACATAAACACTTAACAGGTGTTTAAGCTGTCAGCTATCAGCTGCCATATAACAAAAATGATTTGGTGCCAATAAAAGTAAATTAATAACAAATACTCACCCTACCCTTCTTTTCTTTATATAAACATATCTTAAGCACAACTTCATCTGTGCGTTCCTTAGCTAATTTTTGGAGGGCTTTACATACTGCTTCTCTCACAATATTTTCAGCATCGCCTGAGGTATCCAGCAGGGTTTCTAAAACAACTTTAAGGAAGGAATGATTCTTGTTAAGTAAATACAATATCTCGTGCCCAGATAAACAATACAAACTACGTAAGTTCACAGAGTGTGAAATTATTTTATATTCATTTAAAGGCTACTAATAGAAAAACAAATGTTAGTTTCAAATAAAAAAAATAAAAAATAAATGTAACATTCCACAAGGATGCAAATTAATAATTAACCTTTCGAATACCATGGATCTCATGAGAAGCTAGCTAATTGCCATGGCGGTCATTTTGGAATATCTAACTATTTTTTCACTTTCAATCTCACAATAATGAACAAAAAAATAAATAAAACTTGGATCTTCCACATGTTTTGAAGTGCTGATAATGAATTCCCTATTTAACTTTGGTTTCCCTCTTGCGTATTCTCACAGATAAATAAAAATTATATTTATTTATTTTCTTTTTAGATTGTGAGCTCTTTGATGAAAATAATTTATGTTTTAGCATATTTTCAACTTTGAAGTCTAGCATATTTCCAGAGTTTGACTAACCAACACCCTTTGCTCCTAGTAAGTTATAAATAGTAATAGAGGTCCAAGATATAAAAAAAAAAGTGTTTATATTCACCAACAATTTTATTGTAAAAAGGAACTAACAGTTGAGTTAATTTTCAATTGTTAAATAAATGAAAAACATTGAGCTGAGATTAACTAAGTTTTTAATGAATTTGGTCCCTGGTTTTTTTACAGAGAGTTTATGATACTAGAGTTGGGAACAGTAATTCACTCCTTTCTCTTGTAATATAAAGGAATTAAAATAAGAGAATTGCACATAGCTAATTAATCATTTAATCCTGATTTAAACCAATACATAAATTGCTTTTTATTTTATTTCTATAAGGAAAGATTTTTTAACTTTTATTTTTGGGAGAATGAAGTTGTTTTCAACATTGAGGAAAAGTATTCAGCAAAATCTTGGGAAATCAGATACCTTTGCATCCTTGGTCTTTCCTAATTTGAATATTTTCTAGTATGATAGATGCTATGTGTTTTTGCAACTACTGTAATTAATATTACTTAATAAATTATGAATATATTAGAATTTATTTATGTTGGAATTTTCGACTTTCACAAACTTTCGGCTAGTTATTTCAATTAAAATTGGAACCCAAATTTTAATTCACTGCTTTTGACTTCCGCTTGCTCAAAAGGGCTAAACAAACCTTTTCTCTATTCATTTTCAGCTGAGGATTTGGTCACTTCAGAATACAGGACAGTCTCAAAAATGCGAACCCTAAGTAATCCAAAACTCCTGGTAATCCGAAAAATAACAAAAAACAAAGAGTTAAAGTAGACTTACGAGAGTTTCTCATTACATATTATGTAATGAAATTGCTTCATGGGGTAGTATCGAAATTGTACCGTTGTGTCTCTAAACCAAAATAAAATTAAAATTAGGCAGTCATTCATAAGTTGAGAAATCTCTTTATATATGTTTTTTGCAGCAGATATCACGAGGGTCTCCAATTAATAGAGAATTTTATAAGGACGACAAAACAGATTTTAATGCCAGTTTTAAAAGTAGATATGGAATAAGTTTTTATATTAATTTTTATTTTACTAGAAAATTTCTTTACACCCATTTTATTTTTTTTTTAGTGTATGAATGAATATGTGCAACACCAAATAATTTAAAAAAAAAATGTGACAAATATTTAATTTTTGACAAATGGTGCCAAATCAACAAAAAAAGAATGTAAAAATAAAAATATTACTCAGATGATGGGAAAATTGTCCCAAAACGTAAGAGACAAAAAGCATAAATAAAAAAATATGAAGAAGATTGGAAGTTTTATTGCCTAAAATATGAAAAAATTATAAACGTAAGCTTCCTAATAAAAAAGAAAAATAAGAAGATAACCATTTTATTTTTTATTACAGATAAAACATAGGAACAACAATGAGCTATTTAAAACTTGCTTAGAGTGGGCAATTAGATACAACGTCAACTAGCAAAGCCTGGTACATCTAAGGATTTTGAGAGATCAGATGTTTTCTTTAGCAATTAAATCCGAGCCTTTCAGTTCAAGTACTTTCAGAGATATTTTGTTGGTTTGCAATGTGTTCATGTTTAATTGATAATACATATATTTTCATTACCTTGTGCATTTTTTTCATCATTTTAAATTTAACCTATGATAATCCGGATAGACCTTGCAATCTACGTGTACGGATTATCAAGACCGTCCTGTATTTATGAACATAATCAGCCACTCAGATTTTCATTTATAGAATGATCATGAGATCTTGTCCCCACCCATCTAAGTGGAGCAAGCTTTGTAAAGCAGTAGTGCAAAATAATGATTGAATACTCTCAGCTTTGTTTGAAAAGGTATCACTAGTGTTTTACAGTAGGTACTGGTTTACAACTGTCATGCCTGTTTGACTGATGGGTCCAAATCACAACACAACCATGATTTATAAAATCTCTCATTAAAATTTGGGTATTTAAACCAGTAATGGCTAGTTTCAGCATTCCACGAGCAGTCTAATTGGTGTGACTAAGGTCTATCTGCCAACCAGATGTGACAGAACATTACAAAAATAAATATATTCGAAATGTCTTCTTTTAAAACTAAACATATAACAACAAAACTCATATAACAAGAGTTTGGATAAGATGTGTTCTTTCCATAAGGTATTAATTAATTAAGATGATGATTCTTTATGACAATACTGGTTACAGAATGAAAGTACTAATTCATCAAAAAAGCTTTTATTTGAAGTAATAAAGGATATGTCTATAACAATGTGCAGTTGTCCATCAGACAAATAGTTCATGTTAATGATTAATGTCAATATTACTTGGTCTTGGAATTAGAGTTTCAACCCAAATGGAGATAACACACAATGCACATAGGTACTCAAAACACTTACCCACAAATGGAGGTTTAATTTCCTCCATACTGATGTAACAGATAATACACTAAATATCAACAAACATAATAAGTTATGTAATCTGGTCGTGGATGAGAGGTTTCCCTTTATCAGATAACAGGGTGCAGAAGTGTCGTCATCTATTAACGAATAGATCAACCACCATCCCTCCAGAGTGATAATAATAGTTATTTTTTCCGCCAAAAGAAAGCACTAAATGTATAATGCCTTTCCGAACTTTATAATAAACTTCTTATTTATTATTGCTTATTCCGTTTTAAAGTTTTGTAATTAAATTTACAGAGTGTATCTACCTGTTTACAGTTTAGATAGGAAGGTAACAACAGTACCTAAATACTAATTCTAACTTTAAACAATAAAATATCCGTTTTTTTTTTTATGTTTTACCATGAGTGTGTCTAGAGGAGAGCAAGGTGGCGAAGCTGCTCTTTCCATTCCCAACTTTAAAATGTTTAAAATAAATTATCAATGAATATTAACAAGAAATGTCTGAAAAAAATATTAACTGCAAAAGATTTGTCAGCATTTCACCATTCAAGATGAAACTAGTTACGAAATAAATAGTACTGACATCTAAGATAATTTAACCGGTTAATAGAAATGTTGACTTACTTATATCTAATTTGAAATTAAAAATTTATATCTTCTAATCTCGGCCCCACCAAAGGGAATAGCAGTAGAGCCGATAGCCGATCTAGAACAAAATTCATTGAGCATAGTTTTCCTATGAAAATCACGTATTCGACACACATAAAACTTTTAAAGTCCTAATTAAGTCAAGTATAAATTTAATTTATGTCGAAAATTCAATTTTTTAGAAAATAGAAATTTAAAATCAGAATTCCTAGAAATTAAAAAAAAAAATAATGTAATCTCTCTCCGAAACCTTATAAACATCATTAGAAAGCTCACTCTTTGGATGAAATCCCACATAATCTCTTCCACAATGCAATATACATTTCCCTTTTATTTATTTCGTTTTTTTTTTTGTTTTTTTTTCCAACATTGCCTACACAATCTGCAAATATTTGCCCCCTTCAAGAATCCATAACCCCGTAAAAATGTACTCCCTCAAAATTTTGTTTATTTATTAAATACAGATCCTTTCTGGGCATCTCGACTATATTATACCTTGTAATATCGGCTCATTTTGGAAGCAAGGAGAAACACATTATTCGGTCTCCGTGTTTCCTCTAAACATCGAGAAGGCCGGTAGTTTTCATCAATTGTTATCAGTTCTAGAAAATATACTGCAGCTATGACACATGTCTCTAAATAAAAAGATAAATCATTTCCTGAGCATTTATCCAACGCTCATTTATTTTTTATGTAAATAGGGCTACATTGTCTTTCAAACCTGTATCAGTTTTATTATATAAGTCATAACGTTTTCATAATCGTTTGAAATAATTAAAAAACAACAATAGTACTTAGAGCAAATATGTGCAAAATTTGATGATCGTTTTTTGAAAAAATGAAAAAAAAAATCTAAAAATGAAAAAACAAAATTGTAGCAGCGGGATAACGGGAACGGTATGTTATTTACTTGTAAGTGTTGTTTCATCTCTCTTCTGAGGACCATGTCGCTGGCCCGGCACCTACGGAATTTCGAGTTGAAACCTGTGCCAATATTTAGTACCTAATTTGTACTAATTTGTACCTCAAAAATTAGAATTTGTACCCCTCAAGAACCGGAGATATAACGCTCGTAAAAGTGCCGGGCCAGCGACATGGTCAAATAACGTATTGGTTTTCGAGTTGAAACCTATGCCAATATTTAGTACATAATCTGTACTAATTTGTACACCAAAAATTAGAATTTGTACCCCTCAGGAACCGGAGATATAAAGCTCGAAAGAGTGCCTGAACCGGAAGTTCCATCTCCCTGGCCGACACCAATGGATTTTCGAGTTGAAACTTATGCCAATATTTAGTACATAATTTGTACTAATTTGTACGCCAAAAATTAGAATTTGTACCCCTCAGGAACCGGAGATATAAAGCTCGAAAGTCCGATACCGGAAGTTCCATCTCCCTGGCCGACACCAATAGATTTTCGAGTTGAAACTTATGCCAATATTTAGTACATAATTTGTACTAATTTGTACACCAAAAATTAGAATTTGTACCCCTCAAGAACCGGAGATATAAAGCTCGAAAGTCCGATACCGGAAGTTCCATCTCCCTGGCCGACACCAATAGATTTTCGAGTTGAAACTTATGCCAATATTTAGTGCCTACTTTGTACTAATTTTTACACCAAAAATTAGAATTTGTACCTCTCAGGAACCGGAGATACAAAGCTCGAAAGAGTGCCTGGACCGGAAGTCCCATCTCCCTTGCCGACACCAATGGATTTTCGAGTTGAAACTTATGCTAATATTTATTGCCTAATTTGTACACCAAAAATTAAAATTTGTACCCCTCAGGAACCGGAGATATAAAGCTCGAAAGAGGCCCGGGACCGAAAGTCCCATCTCCCTGGCCGACACCAATGGATTTTCGAGTTGAAACTCATGCCAATATTTAGTACATAATTTGTACTAATTGATACACCAAAAATTATAATTAGTACCCCTCAGGAACCGGAGATGTAGGACCATGTCGCTGGCCCGGCACCTACGGAATTTCGAGTTGAAACCTGTGCCAATATTTAGTACCTAATTTGTACTAATTTGTACCTCAAAAATTAGAATTTGTACCCCTCAGGAACCGGAGATATAAAGCTCGAAAGAGTGCCGGGACCGGAAATACCATCTCCCTGGCTGACACCAATGGATTTTCGAGTTGAAACCTATGCCAATATTTAGTACCTAATTTGTACTAATTTGTACCTCAAAAATTAGAATTTGTACCCCTCAGGAACCGGAGATATAAAGCTCGAAAGAGTGCCGGGACCGGAAATACCATCTCCCTGGCTGACACCAATGGATTTTCGAGTTGAAACTTATGCCAATATTTAGTACATAATTTGTACTGATTTGTACACCAAAAATTAAAACCTGTACCCCTCAGGAACCGGAGATATAAAGCTCGAAAGAGTGCCGGGACCGGAAATACCATCTCCCTGGCCGACACCAATGGATTTTCGAGTTGAAACTTATGCCAATATTTAGTACATAATTTGTACTGATTTGTACCTCAAAAATTAAAACCTGTACCCCTCAGGAACCGGAGATATAAAGCTCGAAAGAGTGCCGGGACCGGAAATACCATCTCCCGTGCCGACACCAATGGATTTTCGAGTTGAAACCTATGCCAATATTTAGTACATAATTTGTACTAATTTGTACCTCAAAAAATAGAATTTGTACCCCTCAGGAACCGGAGATATAAAGCTCGAAAGTCCGCTACCGGAAGTTCCATCTCCCTGGCCGACACCAATGGATTTTCGAGTTGAAACCTATGCCAATATTTAGTACATGATTTGTACACAAAAAATTAGAATTTGTACCCCTCAGGAACCGGAAATATAGGACCATGTCGCTGGCCCGGCACCTACGGAATTTCGAGTTGAAACCTATGCTAATATTTAGTACCTAATTTGTACTAATTTGTACCTCAAAAATTAGAATTTGTACCCCTCAGGAACCGGAGATATAAGACCATGTCGCTGGCCCGGCACCTACGGAATTTCGAGTTGAAACCTATGCTAATATTTAGTACCTAATTTGTACTAATTTGTACCTCACAAATTATAATTTGTACCCCTCAGGAACCGGAGATATAAAGCTCGAAAGAGTGCCGGGACCGGAAGTTCTATTTTTCTTGTCCCACACCAATGGAATATCTTGTTGAAACCTATGCCAATATTTAGTACCGATTTGTATAACAAAATTTACAATTTCAGTGGGGGTAACATTTTTGTTTGTAGAATGCAAATAATTTGACAAATAAAATATTCAAGATTGATACAAGAATTACGATGTTTCTTATAGTTAAAAAAAATCGTGACTATTGGCTAGTCATGAAATAAAAATAAATAAGAGATAACAGTCAATACAAACATAAAATAGTTTGAGTGAAGGTATTCAATAGTTAGATAAATAATGTTTGCAATACAGACAATAGTAATGAATTGACGTGGTAAGTAGTAACGCAGGCGGATCTACGGGGGTAATGTAATAAAATGGTAAAATGTAACCATGTTCTACAGAAAAGAATATTAAAAACTATTCTTGTTCGTGTAATTACATTTAATAGGACTTTAAGAACCACTTAAGTACCATTTGATATAGGTAGTTAATTTATTTTTTATTTGTTCTAATTAATTATTGTTATATTTAGATTAAAAAATTTTTTCGGGCTGAAGCCCCCCCCCAAAATTAAATCCTAAATTCCCTAGTGAGTAGTAACATATGTCTTACCATATATTAAGAATAACAATGTTGATTTAAAAAAAAAATTTATATTAAGGATTACATAGCACTAACAGTGTAAGTATAAATATTTGTGATTAGTAATTGGTTGACTGTCGTGGATAATGAAGAGAAGAATAGTTGGGGTGTTCAGTCAAAAAGAAAGGCAAAAAATAAATTATAATATTTATTTTTTGTTTAAAAAAAAAATAAATATTATAATTTATTTTTTGCCTTCCTTTTTGACTGAGCACCCCAACTATTCTTCTCTTCATTATAAATATTTGTGTGCCTTTTGATAGTAATTTGTATAAGTATTAAATTTCACAATTTTTTATTTCTCTAAATATTCACATTTAAGCGTTTTAAAAAACGAATCTAATTTGCGTTTTCGTTATAAAAAATTCCTTGACAAAGTTTATTGAAAGCGCCTTTCGATATTGTATATTTTTTTATAAAAATAAAACTCATTTAATAGAATAGTCGATATTTTTTTCTTATCTTGCACAAGTATTAATAGATCCTTACAAAAATAGATTTAAACGGAAGTCAGCCTCCGTGAATCTCATTAAAGGATCTGACCCTTGGTTTACCTGAAAAGGGTTTGGGACAACTCACACTCACCAAAACAACAACCTTTTTTTTTCGTCAACGTTTTTTTTTTTTTTTTGCGACAATCTTTTTATTTTTTTTTATTTTGGGATCCAATAAGTGTGTAGATTTGTGTAATTGGGTATTTTTTTTTTAGTTCAAATATATTTTTGTTACATTA